GATTATTTTACCAAAATTGTACAAATTTTAAAGGTAACAGGTTCAATGTCAAACACACTGCACTAGAGTCTTCATCAGGACTAAAGCATAAAAATTAGCCACAAGACTTTCTAAAAGACTGTTTTATTCACAGAACCAGAAGGCTCTTGAGAACATCTGACATGAACCTCACTGCAGCTTACCTTTTCAGTAGGAATAACATTACACAGTTCATCCATTTCCAACACATCTTCAGAAGAGGATATCTGTTGGCCACCAAAATATGCCTTCTAAAACCCCTCAATGACTCAGTAATTAATTGTCATGTTGTACTTACACAGAATTTATCTGGGGAAGACACTGATAAGCAAATAAAGAAGAGTAAGAGAAAAGTAACTTACGGGGGACAAACTGTGACACAATCATCCGGAGGCACGGCCTGAGATGGACAGTTTGTGCTGACACCAGATTGCCAAGAAAACCCAGGTATTCTTCCACTACCTCTCGGCTCCTTCCCAACCATGGCAGCTTCTGAAAGTAAGCAAAGATCAAGATGTCAGAGAAAGATGTTTTGAGTACTAAACTCTTAATCTTTCCATGTAGCAAACTGATACTTACCAGCAAAATGTTGACCAGTTGTTCAAGCTCTTTGGTCAAATATACAACAGAAGTTCGAAATTCATGGAGCCAATTGATGATCTGGGCATCCTTAAAATAAGAAGAAAAAACAGATAACTATTCCAATAAACAGTATTACCTATTAGTAGAAAATTGTAAGTCAAATATTAAGATTGTAAATAGAAATTTATACTATATTAATATGTGAGGAATTTCTTTGTGTGCTCACCAACAGAAGTTCTTGAGTGCAGGAATACATGCAAGTTGACTCCTAAACCAACAGCCTGCCTAGAAGGCTTCAGCTGCAGACTAAGGCATGAAACCTCACTCACACAGAACATACTTAAAAAAATGGCATTCAATCTTCTTTTTCTTTTTTTTTCCCTCTAGTTTAAGCAGAAGGGACATTCAAGTCTTGAAACGATACTGAAACAGTAGCTTTGCCTGTATGCTCCAAAAGGCCTGCTTAAAACATTTTACAGAATGTCCTTTTTAAAGAGAAAAGGGACTCCCTATGGCATGATGCTTCTTGCAGCACCCTGCCCACTGTTTTGTGGTTTAATTCAAAGGGGGGAGGGGGAAAGGGCAGAAACGTGGTGGGTTCTTGCAGCTGTGAAATGATGTTTCTGGGTATAACGACTAAATGCATATGCATGTTACTGCCTAATTCAACAAGTTCTTAGTGAGAACAGAAAGCAAAATTTGGTGCAACTTAAAGTGAGAAACCATGGTTTGATGTACAGAAGTATCTCTAAAATCAAGGATCAGTGACAGAAAGATGGCATCTGGAACAAGGACAGACTCAAAGGTTTCTCACTCTAGAGCAAAGAGTCACTAAGCATGAGACACCATTTATAAAGATCCTGCATATATGTATGTGTGTAAATAGACAATTGCTTTTTTTCACAATTAGAGTTTTAATTCTGGAAGTTTCCACAGAGCAAAATGCTATTAAATGCAACCTAATGTTTAAAGCAAAGGACTTGTGTAAGCACCACAATGACTTGTCTGATGATTACATTAGACAGACGAACTTTAAATCATCTGACTATGAAAACTCTTACCTTTATGTCTGGATCTGACAGCTGATGCTTCAACAACTCAAAATCTGTGGTATCACCCTAGCAGGGGAAACAAAAATATTTAACTTTTTTCCAGCAAAACATACCCATTTCATCAACGTATCTCAACAACCTATTACTGCTGAACATGTATATCAAGAACACAAGCAAGGGAGAGACAGCTCAGGGAAGGCTGAGGCAGCAGTAACAAGGTGCTGAAAGACAACCGAGAGTTGGCTCACGTTCAGCTGCAGACACAGTTGGGATCCCCGTGCACCCTTTGGCATAAGCCCAGCTTTACATCCACCCAGGTTGACTCAAGGGAGGAATCTTTTCACCGCGTTCAGGTTTTTCCCCTAAGCCTTCAAACACGGTGTTGTGTAAGGCCAAACGAGTCTCCTCCCTGAATGACCCCCCAGGAGCCAGCGCGGGCAGCCCGGATGCAAGGGAGGCACCGCGGAGCCGCTCTCACTCACTCACCCACCTTCTCGTACTTGAGCAGGATGTCGGTGAGGGTCCCCCCGAACCGCACCGTCTTCCTGGGCGGGGAGCTGATGAACTCGTCCCCTCCCAGCATGGCCACGGCCCCGCGCCTGCGGGACGGGGAACGGCGTGAGCACCGCCCGCAGCCCCCCGGCCCCTCCTCAGCAGGAGGAGCCCCTCGCCCCGCTCCCGAGGGTCCCCCCCGGTGCCCCCCTTGCCTTGCGGTGGCGCTGCCCCCGCCGCTACCGGGGCCCGGGGCCCCTCGCCCCGCGCCGCCCGCGCCGCGCCCCGCGCCGCCACATGCCGGTCCGGGCGGAAAGGCAGAGCCGGGCGGCGGAAACGCCGAGCGCTCCGCCCCCCGCACCACAGAGAGCCGGCACACCGAGCGGCTCCGCCGAGCGCCGCCACACCGAGCGGCTCCACCGGGCGGCGGGAGGGAGCGCCGGGACGGAGCGGCCGCGGCTCTGCCCTCGCCCGCTGCGGGGCGGCCGAACCGAGCGAGCCGGGTCGTTAACTAACACCAGGCTGAACCTGAATGCATGTCTTGCCTTTTACGTTACTGCTTATGTGCTGAATTTTATGTCTTGCATCGACAACTTCTTTCCTGTTTTTCACCCTGAAGTTGTATTCCAGATGCTCTTCATAAGCCTCAAGCTTATAGCTTAAAGGAATCTCTATGCATTTGCACGTTATACTCTTGAAAATCTCTGCTGTCTGCTACCAGCTGCCTCCTCTTGCGAGTGTGGAGGTCTGCAAAGCGGCTGTCCATCTGGGGAGCACCTTTTTTTTGAAGTGCCTCCTTTCCCGGGTGTCTGAGGAGGTGACGCTGCCCCAGCTGGAAGGGTCCGGAGCGGGCTCTTCCCGCCCCGGTGCGAGGGGATGGAGCCGAGCGGGAGCAGCGGGAAGCGCCACGGACGGCACCGTGGGAGCAGACCCCAGAACTGGAGGGTAACAGGGCGCAGGGAAGCGGAATTCCAGGTTTATCCACAACGCCACGGTGGAGCGATCCGCAGCCGAGTTCTGGCACAAGCAAGCGCTTCCCGACCCCGCGGGCAGCTCCCCCCGAGCGGTGACAGCAGAGGTGACACCAAGGACACGGCCAGACAGGACATGAAGGGTTTTCAACTCAAACCTAGCACTGCAGTTTGGAGGGATAAACTAAATGATCCGAACAACTTTACTTGAGACTAAAGAAGGCCAGGAATCTGCTCTAAACAAAACGGAATTTGACCTTGGGAAGCATTTATGCATTTGCTAGAACAGAGGCACAGGACCTTTAAGAGAGATTTCTGGATGCTTTCATCCTCTCCTTGTAGGCTAGGTCTGTTTTCCTCTCAAAGCATTGTATACACACACACACAAGTACTATTTTTAGAGCTACTTGGATAAGTGAGACAGGGAGATGCAATTCGTGTGTAGTTCTTCAGTAACACCCAATCTCCTCAAAATTTACTTTGGTTGAATACATAACAATTACTTCACCAGTTCACACAAACTAGTTCCAGCAACCCGTGACATTATTTGACCTTAGCCCTCTCAATAAGCTAAACACTTTGGCTAATTCTCTACACAAACTACTCCTGTAATAATTACCTCCCTTTCAGCAACTCTCACTCCCCAAAGTCACATCAAACAGATTTTTGTAGTTCATAATAATATAATCTCTCCCTGATGAAGGTGTTCCCATTTAAGTAGACAGTATTACCACCTGAAAACTTTCTTTAGGTGCAGTCCACGTTTAAAGAGTTTAATAAGCATTTCATTCATCCACATAGTTAGGAGGTTGGTGTTTTTCCTTTCGTGGAATATAGGATGCCATTTTGAGCTGGTTTTAAGGCTTAACCAGATACAAAAGACTCTTGTATTCACACTCCAGGAAATGGAGTTTGGTTCTTTGTCATTTTGGCCGTGTTTTTAAACAGAATGCATAGGACTGTCCTTAATATCTAAATGAATTCTACCTTTAGCTCTACAACTGTGTGTACACAACAGCGAGCAGTTCTAAACATGTACAATAACTTCTTTCCAGTCCACAATGTAAAAGTTCTTTGAATGGACTTTGTGCTGCTTTCAGCTACAGCTGATAAGGACATCATGAAACTAAAATAGCGTTAAATATTTGTTAATATTTAACTGCTAACAATTCCATTGCCTGTTTCTATTTACCATTAGCCTTCCTTGTTTAGAAGGGCAAACTGATCTCATAAAACACTAACTGGTTTACATTTTCAAAAAGAAAATAGTTACAATACTTACAATAGGTGTTGCTCCACAGCAAGTACTTTCTTTCTCATTGTTTAGACATACAATCCCAGTAACATTCTGGTTCTTCTCTATGCTTAACATGCTCCTTAACTGATGGATCAGCTCCTGTATTTCATTTTTAAAACATACACAATGTTCGTACTAGTAAAAGTTTGGATCCCACACAATTTTTGAGTGAAATTACAACAGCATTCTAGCTACCATCTTATGCAACAATCATTAAGCATTGGTACTGGATTTAAGATTAATTACATTGTATCCTCCAATGAATGCAAAGCCCTGCTCAATTCATCAATTATGATTGCAACACCCGAACAGAAAAATTTTGGTTTCCATCAGACTAAGTATGTGAATGGCTACACACAAAAGGTTTGGCTTAATTTACAGCTCCTACTAATCATTCCACTTCTTAAATACTGTATCTCATAATTCACTTTACAAGTGAACTCACAGGGAATCAGAAAAAGCAGTTATCTCTGTTCAGAACAATGAAATGAAAACAAAAAATCTTGCAAGTGAGAAATGGGGTTTAAGGGAGGAGCTTATTTGGTTTATTGTTTTTTTGTTTTTTTTTTGTTTTTTTTTTTTTTTTCCAGTCATACCATTGTGGCACCTCAGTGGTGTCAAATTGCAGTTCCATTAAAAGGAGGAAACAATTGCATACACCTCCTAGAAACTGCAGTTAGTAAAGACAAAATCACATTACAGACCTTCAAATTTAGTGTTCTTAGCTTGTTAAAAGACAGGGCATTTAGGAAACATTTAAGAAGAGAATATGCACAGAAAACAAGTTACTTCAGTAATTTACAAGAAAACATTGAAAGACATTTCAAGAGTTCACCAGGAAGTACAGCCACAGTGTTCTTAGTAAATATTTTCCTTAATTCCATCTCTAGTATTCAGTAAGGTGTGGCTTAAAATCAGTTGTACATTGAAATGTCAAGACCTACCAGTATTTGCTGATGGTGGGCTCAGACTCTTAGTTCAGAAACAGAGGAGCTCATGAGGAATTTCTCCACACAAAAATTTTAGGTATCAACAAGAGTCCTTTTTCCAGGTACTGTTTGTTAATATTTTATAAAGCTTCAGAGTATTTGTTAATCAAGAGAGTTTCTTTTAGTCTTGTCCCTTCCCTCAAATGCTTCAGCATTAGGAGAATAATTCCCAACATTACTGGACTAAAAATGCCTTTTGCAAGAGTCATCAGATGACATCACCTGCAACTACAAAGACTGTACTGGTGTGACAATATAGCTGATTTTACTTGTCTACTGCTAAAATCTCAAATTCCAGGTTATTCCAAAATAACAATGAAACTTAGCAAGAGACACTGTAAATTGTGTATTTACACTATAAACAACTTCTACTGCATTTGCAGCTTTGCATCAATAGTTTAATATAGATTTTAAAAGCACCCTTACAAATAAAAGTATTGCACTGGCATTATAAAAATTCACAGTAGGTTTAACTTCCAGACTTTGGTAAAACAGTGCAAGAGCTTTTCATTGTGCAAGAGCTTTTTATCCAAACCTTCCAGGCTTTAAAAAATAATAATAGTTAAAAAACACAACTATATGACAAGCTGCAGAGATTTTTCTGGGAATTGGGTTCAGTTCTCTTTCAGTTTTCACTTCTTAAAGTGATTTTGTGTTGTTTTTTCTTTTCCCCACCATTTCAAAGCACATCCAGTCCAGCGCTGAAATAGGTGTGTTTGGCAGAGATATGGCTCCATGTGTCCATTGTATTCAGAGTCCACAACGCTTGCAGAGATTATTCCACAGTGAGAGAATCCTATTGCTTTGAGTAGGGAATTCTCTTTCCAGAATTTGCAGCACTTTCCCCGCTTTTTGAGGCAGTAACTTGGATAGGTATGTCTTCAACAGACCCTGAAGGTAATACAGTAAGAAAAGGTTACTCAAAAATAGTCTTAACACCAATGAGCATATAAAACTCTAAACTGTTATTTGACATCAATCTTAGAAGTACTTTTCCTCATGTTTAACAGACAACTGGGATCCAAATGAAAGATCCAGCAAGTCAACAGCCCATCTCCAACAGTGCCCAAATATCTTTTCAGGATCAAGGATCCTAATCTACTTGTTATTCCTTTAACAGAAGCATTTCATATCTTGGGAATTCTCACCCTTCTCATTCATTTTTACTATATAATTTTTAAGATGGGACATCAGATCAGCAGGCAATATTCCATTAATAGCTTCCAAGAGTTATTAATGGAAGCTTTTCTAATGGCCAATACAGGGAGGATTTTTTTGTGCATGTGTGTGTGTGGTGGTGTTTCTTCCTTCCTGTCTCCTGACAGTATCTGCCCAAACATGTTTAACCCGTTTGGTTAAGTTCATAAATATCTCCAGATGGGGAGATATCTATCAGTAAGGAATGATCTGATTCACACAGTTGTTTGTGAGAAGATATAAAGTACTTCAGAGAAACGTACTTCAAAAAGGAACTCTCAATTATCTTTGGAGGTGCCACCATTTTGTTACCCTTTATTCTACCTTGAAAGTAAAATCATAGAGTTTTATGTTACAATGTGTAACATAGCTCTTATACACTCCCTGTTTTGGTTCCTTCTAAATTACCATTACTAATGCAATTGTACAGAAGTTTGTTTCCTGTAACATTAGAAGCTATTTACTTGGGATAACTTGTACTAAAGCACTATACAGAAATAACAAACCTAATTAGAATCAGGAATAAGACTTGAAATATTTAAAAATGATGGACAAGTCTCGCTACTAGAAGCTCATTACAACAAAATGCACATCAGTGTATGCATATTGAAAGTAGGGCCATCTGCAGAGGTAGCAGATTATCTACTGAACTCAAGATGTGCAATTGCTGTGATCTTTACATGAAAAAGGTCATCTACTAATGTGATTTCTTCTCTGCAAATATGGATCTCTATCTGTCAATCCTAGACTCACTTCAGAAAAAAGAAAGTCTGAAAAGAGAATGACTCGTTTTCAACAGCCTGTTTTCTAATTGCAGATGTAGTTAATAATAAACTAGTGAGCAGTAACAAATCTTTGAAAGTTGTATTGCTGCTGCTCTTTTCCGCCTCCTACAAGTTTTCTATTAAGCAGTACCTATTAATGCTCAATCTCTTTAGTGTTAAAACTTCCTCTCAAGAAAAATTTTGGGGCTTTCATGAAAGAAGGCAACTTCCACATGAACTTTTCTGTACACCAACAGTAGCTTCAGAATTTAGTTTCAAGAAGCTGCAGAAAAAGCTAATTTTGTACATAGTGAATCAGAACAGCGAGTTGTTCTGAATCCTTGAACAGTTAGAACACCCATTACAAACATGTTTTTACAGTTCTTTCAATGAAGGATTTTACATAGTGAGGTGAAAGTTTGGCTTTTTTTCTCACATGCTTTTTTCAAGGCATTAAGCATGCTTTTCTCCCTAAATGAACATGCCATGCAAAAGAACAAACTAGGGAGATTTTGAAAGCTTTGATATTCTTCGGCTGGGCTTTGAAATGGGACCTAGGCACTTTCTTTGCACAACGGATATTACCACATCTTTTCTAGATGACTGAGGCTCAAGACAAGTAGTTTAACTAATGATTGCATTTACGAGCGTCAACCTATTAGCTAGAACTCTGCCCCCAAGTTAAACACAAGTCAGCATTTCACCTTTCTTGTTCTTCTCTTAGAAAACTCCCTCATGGTGCTGAAGAGGGAGCTTCCCCTCAGAAGAGCTCATGTGGGTAGTGGTTAATGGCTGTTTCATTACGCACCACTTCGGGCAGCATTTAGTGATTGTCAGGACCAGTTCAGGACCACACAGTGTTCTGTGCTGCACTCGGACATAAAGCTCCATCACGCTCACCGGGCTTTACTCCAGCTCCTCTTTCCCGTTCTTAGACGGCCACAGGAAGTGTCTCCCCTCCCTGATGGCACTGGGGCCATCCCTCTCTCTCGGTTTCTAATTACCGTCTGAGCTGAGAAAGATTTCCCACTACTTTCATTTTAAGAAGCGCCAGCTGCCAGCAGGTGGTTTAACACAGCAAGTATTAAATCGGACCTCAGGTAAGAGGAGAGCTTTCTGGAGCTCCAGCCAAACTTTACGGTCGGTCCCCAGCCTCCCCTTTGCTGCTCTCACCTGCCGGGCTCGGCGGGGCGGCCGCGGGGCCCCGCGGGGCGCTGCAGCTCCATGTCGGCGGGGCGGGCGGGCCCGAGCGCGGTGGTGAGGCGGAGGCTGAGCCCGTGCACCAGCCGCCGCAGCAGCGTGTCCCCTCGGCCCTTGGGCGCCGCCAGCCCCACGTCGTCCCGCAGCTCCTCGGGCGGCACCTCCAGGTTGCCCGCGTACCAGAACACCCACCAGATGAGGCTGAGGAAGATGCCGATGCCGCCCGCGTAGATGAGCAGGTCGGAGAAGAACACGTCGGCGAACACGCCCGCCAGCAGCACCGCCAGCCCCAGCGCGTCGAACGCCAGTGCCAGCCAGAAGGCGGCCACGCAGCGGCCCAGCCCGCCCGGGGCCGCCATCGGGAGCAGCGCCGCCGCCGCCGCCTCGGGCCGCCCGCACCTGAGGGGAGGCGGGCGGGAGTGGCGGGAGGGCGGCGCCCACCTGAGGGCACGTCCAGGCCAAGCCCCCCGCACCTGAGGGCACGGCCGGGACACGTCCCCCGCACCTGAGGGCACCGCCAGGCGCCGCCCCCGCCTGCACCTGAGGGAGCGCCCAGGCCACGCCCCCCACACCTGAGGGCACCTCCAGCTCCCGCCCCGATGAGGCAGGAACGCGCTGCCCTCAGGCGGCTCCGCCACCTCCGAGGTGGGTGCTGAAGTGTTTAAGGTTGACATGTAGTGACTGATGGCATTCCGGGACCGGGGCATCCCTTGGAAGTGGTGGTCACCATGTGCAGGTGAGACAGGCACGGCTAGACACGTTCAGCTGTTCCCACTGGCGCAGCATCACCTCGCTCAGACACGCGGGAAAGGAGGCACTTTGAAAAAGGTGCTCCCCAGATGAACACACTTTCATAGAATCAGATGGGTTGGAAAGAGAGCTCATCAAGTCCAACTCTCGATCAGCTACCACCCTAGTTACCAGACTATGGCCCTAAGTGCCACATCCAGTCTATTCTTAAATACCTCCAAGGACCAAGGTTTGGGCCAGGAAAAGATAAAAAGTGATAGGGCTGGTAAGACAGCGAATTTATTTGTACCAGCTTGTAAATTAGAAGGAAACAAATGAATTGTTACAGATCGCGGTGGAAAAAAAGCCCTTGGGATCGGATTTCTTAAGAAGGTATTTTACTTCATGTATATATTTGCTTACTAAAAATACACCGCTGAATGACAATATAAACTGTGTTACAACAGACAATTTTCATGCTGACTGTGGCACACGCCCTTTCTTGGGTGTTTGCTTCGATGGTTTTGAAGACTTCTTGGCTGACTGTATCAATTTGCCAGCTTTGGGTGTTGCAAAAGACTTCACTTCAGGTTTTTTTGGAGTCTTTTTCACATCTTTTTCTTTTATTGCCTCCTTTGGCTTGCTGACCTGCTTGGCTTTTTTCTGTTTGGGTGGTGTCTGCAAGTCTGCACGCTCTCCTGCAAGGGCAGGTTTTGATTTTGGTATCTCCGGAACTAGAGGTTGTTTCTTTCTCTTTCCGAGGGGTGTTTTGGTTTTCTTGCCCAAGTTGCCACCTTTTTCTGGACTCGGCTCCATTTTCTGTATTTAAGACAGACAAAAAAATTACCCTTCCACCTAAGAAACGTATTTCCTGCTTTTCAGGAAATGAAAACCATGATAAATGACAAATGCTTTCTATCAATTAAACTGCACCCCAGTCCATCTGAAGTGTGTTAACACACTGTTACCTAAAGAGCACTGAGCAGTTTAAACAGTTCAAAATCTTTAGTTTTAACTGAAATATGACTTTTCCGATATTATGAAGCAATTACCTCCATCTCAGCTAAACTCTTTGTTTGTATAGGCACCAGTTGTGGAATTTCTTCATCATCATGATCAGCTGGTTCTTGGACTACTTCTACTTTTTCTTTTATCGCAGGCTCCTGAGTAGCAGCAGCAGCTTTACTTTCAGTTGTCACAGTGACTTGACTTGACTTCCGTTTTTTAGCTGTCTTCTTCGGTTTCTTGGTTTTGCCCTTCTAGAGTTAATCAGAAGTACATCTCAGACAAATCCCCATAACATTTCCAAATGTATAATAGTTTTAATGTGGTTAAAAATTAGACAGTGTAGCAACATTCATCTAAAGACCCTTATTCAATAGACCCAGACTGGTGAAAAAATGCATTGCATGAAGATTATTATAAATAACTCACAACTATAACAGTGTCAAGATTACAGTCTTTAAGTTGAATATTCATGTTCCACATTTTCTTCAGACAAACTAACATAAGCAGAACTCAGTACAAAGGAATAGCCAATTATTTTTTACAAGAAGAAGCCCCCTCATGTACACAAATATACAAGCTTGTGAATTATTCAGATGTCACTGATTAGCCAACAAAAAACAGATGCATAGTCTGAATCCACCTCTATGTTAATGAGTGTATTTTCAGAAGGCAAATATGAATAAACAATACCAGCAAAGTTCTAAGAATGAATCTCACCTCCCTTTAGTTTAGCACCAGAAACATTTATTTCCAGTTTGCTTTACAACCCATCACAGAGTTTCCATTTATTTATTACTACTGAGTATTTGAAGCACCAAGGCACTGATGGCCCAACCCATTTTTAGCCATAAATACCTGGGATCACCTGCTAAAACCCAACACTGTAGTGCACAAAAGGAAGACAAAGAACTAACTGCACCAATCTGACCTTATGCAAAATTTGAAGACATTTTGGTTTACCTTTTCTTCCTTCTTTTTGAGAGGGGGCTCTCTGTCAAGCTCATCCAGGTTGGAGACATTCGCAGTAAATATTGGAAGCGCAACCGATTTAAGAGTTTTGAGGTGAAGAATCTTTACATTTTTCCAGTTCTGCAACAACAAAACCAGCATATTCTGTAAAAATAACAAGGCTGAAGTATGAACCCACTGGGATTTAACACAGTCAGCAGTACCTTTGGTAACTTCTTAGCAATCACTTGTGCTGCTGCAATGACATTCTCCAGGATCTCATCCACTTTCATTCCAGTGTGACCTACACGTGCTGTACTGAAACGAGAGGAGAGTAATATTTATGTGTGGGCAAATAAACATACTTCAAGTTACTTGCATTTAGGCATCTATAACTTCCTTTACTTTCATAGAGGATGGCTGGCTATTGCAGAAGTCTTTTGTAACAGCAGATAGAAGAGATTCACCCGTATTTACCTTTCCATATTTTGGATATCGAACTTCTGACTTATATTATGAAGCATATTACAAATTTAGATCCTTTTAGATCCACAATACATGAAAAAAAATAGTACTAGCATATTTTGGAAATAGTTTTTATCAAATTTAAGAGCAGTACTTCTCAAAGATTGCATATGCTGTTTGACAGTGAAAGGTGCCTAGAAATTCTCTGGTATAAGGAAAAAGAACCAAAAAGTAAAACTTTGTAAGTAGAACTACTGGGTTTTTTAATACAGGTTAAGGTTCAAAATAGCCCCTATTTGGAATGGTGAGCCTTAACATGTTTTATTCACATACTAATGGATTAAAAGTGAACTCACTTAAAATCCCTACAGTTAAGGTACAACCATCCCTCAAGCGAGGTACTAATCTATTCATACTTACTAACAGCACCCTTTGTTGTTAACTGGGAGTGTAGTCCCTTGGATATGCCTTTGTAGTTCCTTAGCAAGATTTTTGGCTTTCAGGTTTACAGATAAAGGTGCCCTAAAAAATAAAGGGTTAAAAAAAGGAAATAATTAAAAAACTCAAAACAAATCCAACCCCCTGCTTCACTAAGAATCTAATCTTTGAAAAGATAATGAAAAATGGATCTACACAATTTTAAGACCTACTTTTTCTTCTCATAGAAGTGTTTCCCTAGATGTGAGGGCAAGAGTCTCCTGATTCGGTCATCAGACAGGAAGAGATCGAATCTGTTCAGGAGGCGACGCTTCGCTTCAAACAGTTTATACTCCTTTTTGAGAGTCTTGTAGGGGATGATCTGCAGTGCAAGTAAGAGTTTAGTCCCCATTGCTAAAAAAGCAGCCTAGCATGCTTCTTAGAACTGCACAGAATCATCATTTTAGAATGCTGAAGGAAATCAAAATGTACTGTATCCTTTTCCTGTTGTTTTAAGAATCAAACAACATGGATGTCTTGCATAGTAACTGAACTTCAGTATATGGTAAAATCTAAATCGAGGTTAAATACAACAATAAATTTATTTTATAGTTTTATTGCTAGTAGCATAAACAATCCAATCCAGCTGCAATGGACTCAAATATTCAAACACTCACTCTGCCATCAAGCACCTCTCTTACCTGGCTAATACTTCTGATCCCATTCTGGATCAAAAGTTTCCTGTACAGATTTTCAGTCTGCTCTGCTGTTAAATTTGGTTCATCCTTGGTGAACAGGCAAACCTCAGCTGTTTCTGGTCGAATGCCATGGGGCAGTGGTCTACAGGGAGGATATGAGACAGACAAAGAATGTCCAGTAAAAGAAAGAGGTTTCTTCCAGAACTAGGTCTACACTGAGACATCATTACCCTTTAACAATACAGGGAAACTCTTGTATTTAGATTCTGTTAACCACTAAACATCCTCAGTGGAACCTCACTGGATTTATTTTCTCAAGCTTCAGGATTGAAAGGCATATACCTTGTAAGTGGCAACCCACCGAATCACTATTCTCTGTGTTAAAGGATGGCACAGCCCAGCTTCCAGTTACACTAAAAGTGGAGCTAACCCGGTTCTCACTGAAGGCACAGGAGCTGCCAGGAGGGGGCCGTGGCAGCCAAATCCCTAAAACTCAAGCAAAGTGCTCTTTCCCAAGCCAAAGGACACGAGCAACCCCTGTACCCAGACGGCAGGCGGTGAGTTTCTTACATTCTGATGACTTTTGCCTCCCTCGGGACCTTCCAGACCGTCACCAGGAGGTGAACGCTCTCGTTCTCGTTGAGGAGCAGTGCGTCTCCCTTGGCCTTGCTCCTGGAGAAAGCCAGGAGAGCCTCCACCGCCTTCTTCACCTGCAACAGCACCAGCCGTGGTTAAACCCCGGCCCGGCCCCGCTCCAGGCGCTCCCTCCTCGCGGTACCCGGGCTCTCTCCAGGCTGTCCCTCCCCGCTCCCGCCGTACCCGGGCTCTCTCCAGGCTGTCCCTCCCCGCTCCCGCCGTACCCGGGCGCTCTCCAGGCTGTCCCTCCCCGCTCCCGCCGTACCCGGGCGCTCTCCAGGCTGTCCCTCCCCGCTCCCGCCGTACCCGGGCTCTCTCCAGGCTGTCCCTCCCCGCTCCCGCCGTAGCCGGGCTCTCTCCAGGCTGTCCCTCCCCGCTCCCGCCGTACCTGGGCGCTCTCCAGGCGCTCTGTCCCTCTCGCCATGGTCCCGCCGGTGCCACGTGCGGCCGCTGCGCCTGCGCGGGCTGCTCTTCCGGGGCACGGCGGGTCCGTCCGGGGCGGGTCCCGGTGGTGCGGGTGGTCTCAGAGCGGGACCGGGAGCGTACGTCGCGGGGACCGTCCCTGTGCTCGGAGGCAGCTGTGTCCCAGAGGGTCACGGGCTAATCCCGCTTGGAGCAGAGCTCCGCGAGCCGTCAGTCCGCCCCGGCCCAGCAGCAGCGCCAGCCGGAGGTCAGGCGGGGATGCTCAGGGATGTCCAGCCCGTCCTTCCCAGCTCCAGGAATGGAGGCTGTGCCAATGCCGAGTGTCCCCGTGCTCCATTTGTTACTGTCCTTCGGACACAGGGCAAGCCATTATCTCTACCCTTAGATCCCTGATGTCCAAGCAGTTGTTACCCATGTCTTCAGATTCCTTCTTTGAAGCCTATCCTTGATTTTACCTCCTCTATTACTGTCCTTTTGCACTGGAGTGCTGTTGTAAGTTCTCTACTTTCCTGAGTATCAGGAGGAACTGTTTTTATGATTGGATGTCCTTAAAGCCCTGCTGCCAGCTTCCCTGGGCTCCTTTGCCTTTCAAAAGTGCCTCCCATGGGATCCAGCCTGCTGGTTCTCTTGAATAAACTCAAGTATGTCTCATGGAGTCCAGGGCCTGCCTTCTGCTCCTCACCTTCCCCATACTCTGTGTCTTGAACTCTGCTATTTCCAGGTCACTGCCATTGAGGCAGCCACTGATTATCACATGTTAAACCATTTCTTCCTCATGTGCGACTGATAAAGGCACAACTGCTGCATCTACTGTTCAGTTTAGAAATGCACTGACTGACTACATGGAAGTAGCTTAATCGGAGGATGCTTATCCCATTGAGCTCCATGCTGGATAAATACATTGTTCTGAGATAAAATCTAGCCGGGAATTATTCTGGCCTCATTCCCACAGTGCTGTGTGTGCCCTGGCAGCCTTGCCTGGTCTGCATTCATCACCCAGGTAAGCTGCTACCTGGGTAACACAGCTATGCATCACCAGGCCTTAAATATGCATGTAATTAGGGGTCTGAGTCATTCACTCTTCTCTAGATTTTTTCTTGCTCTTTGCCTTTCTATTTTTGGTTTTATTCTTTCTCACCAGATGTCTGTCTTCCAACAGAATTTGTTGCTCCATCAGCATGCAAAGAGAAAGTGAAAAAAAACCCTAAAATACTCTAGTTTCATGTAGTGGTTTATGTTTTCTGCTTCATGTAATGGTTTATATTTTCATTCTGCTGTTAGTGTTTTTTAGAGCAACAGTGGAATAGTTGATGGCTTCAAGATATGCCCAAGATATGCTTCAAGATATGGACGTAAATTATATTGACATAAACCGATTTTAAAGAGTGAAAACCAAAATCCTGTTGTGATGTTTGAACAAAATAAATGAAACTGGCTAAGAAAAAGAAAAGCTATCCATTGTTGCCATGTTGTCTGAAGTATTGATTAGAGAAATTACTGAAGTTGAGGAACATGCAGGGTGGGCAAAGAGGGCAGACTCATTAAAATCTCAGTACTGGTAGAATTTAGGCATGTGGTGTTGTGTATTCTGATAACTGTATCAGCCTTGCTGCTTCTTTGCATATTTTAGAGCAGCCTTATTTTAATAAAACATCAACATACTAGTGTGACATGTTAAAACAAAATAGAAAAAGTGGATGCCTGGAACATCTCTCTGAAAATAAGCCAGGCCAGCCTTGCAAGATACGATTGAACAGCCTGTTTGAAGCCTGACTGTACTGGGTCAGTATAGCATTAATAGGATAAAACTAAAGGGACTATTATTAGTGACTCAAATCCAATTTTTTCACGTCAGTCTCATCCAAGTACATTTTTCTGAACAATTTTAGGTCTGACATGACTGAATTTTACTAGATGTGATTTAACTGCCTTAGTATAATCATTTTCTCTGGAAAGGTACTTGACAGAGCAAACAGACCTGTCTTGGAAAAATTAAGTTAATCTCTGGATAAAAAATATTTCAGCTTAATACAGCATGCAATGAATATAAACTATAGAAGAGCACACTTTTAATTTAGCAAGTTCATCAATTTACAGTTACTCCTACAAGGAAATTAGGTTTGTTGCTTTGATCAGTGTTATTGCTGTCCATTATCCTGCTGCAGCTCTCAATTTAACTTTTTGGACTAGGAAAGTATGTATATTTCTTTAAGCCATTTGTGCCACTTACTTAAATGCCAAGATTTAAAATAATTGCAAGCCATTGTACCTCATTACTTATATGTTTCTCTACATGCCTGATTTTGAACTTTCTCATAGCAAAAGGGAAGTACAAGTAGCATTTGTTTCTGCTGTAAATAGGTCTTTGAGGTTTAAGATTATTCCTGTTCCAGGCTAATGTTCAGGTGTGTGTAACTGAGGGGAGATGTAGAAAAATCCAATTTACGTTGGAAGTTGATACTTCTTAGGAGGGAAAGCCAATGAAAGGATACGTATTATCAAAACTTATATACACACAGACAACAGATTTTGGGTTTGTTAGCATAAATTTCCACTTTATATTAAGACTAGAATTCCTTTCTAGTAGTTCTTCAGAGGAAAAGTAATATCTTGTAAGGTTTATAGTGCTTTAAAATAAACACAAGGAAAGAAACAAGTTCACAATATAAAATCTTCAGTAGTAACTGCAGTTTTGTTGGTATATTTTTCTGTACCAAATCCTCTATAGGGTATACAAAAACAGCAGAAGAAGTAAGAACCTTTAAGTACCAATTCAGGAAGAAAACAGTCTTGTCTGGAGTACATTTCATCTGCTTTATCATCACAATTTAAACAGTCTGAGTTAAGAACCGAAAAGCCAGAGTAATACAGAATCAAATACCTGGGACATTGAAACAATATTTTTTTCCCCCTTAGGTAATATTCATTAATAAACACTTATAAAAACACATTTCTCATAATTAACATGATTTTTAGTATATGGAGTGGTGCCATAAGTAGCCTAAAACAGAGGATGTTCACTGGGCTTTTCATGCCACTGAAAAAGATCTGCAGAGGGGCACAAAGGTCATGAGCAGCAAATATCCCCATGGCTAAACCTCCTTAAAGCAGCCGTTTCTTCCCACACTGTTACACCATCAGCAGGAGCTGCTGTGCAGGAACACCATTCACTGCCAGAGGAAGTGCCTCAGGAATGCAGCATCACCATGTCTGGGGATCAGCTCCTGACTGACTGCAGGAGACGCCCAGGGAGGCTGGAATGGTTTCAAGCAGACAGCTGATGGCCATGTCACCCACTCCTGCAGTTACTGTGCTTTGCTTCTGGGCACTTGCAGAAACAAGTCATTATTTTCCTGTTGCCAAATAATTAAATTTTTGTTACATATACCAAGGTTTTCAGTTCCAGGACATACAAAGTCTTAATTTAGAGAATTATAATTTATGTTTTTATAAGTTACATTGTGGCTAAACACTTAAGCCATATCTACACTACAAACTTTGGCCAGCCAGCAGAGAGAAATAGGTGTGATCCTCATCACTACCACACTGCAAATGCTGTTTTACAGGGGAAAATAACCCCCCAAATCCCTCCTTTCTGCACAGACACGCTGCCAGTTCTGCTGGTACGAGTGACAGCCATGGCAGAACCAGGAATGCTCTGCCAGTGTTCTGTGCAGTTACCCTGGCAGGGCTCCTGGAGCTTCAATCCAAATTCTGTTTCCCTTTTTTCCCCCCTCCCTTCCCTTCAACTGTTGTGCTTGCACAGCTCCTTTAGTTCTGTCTCATCTTCAAAGCAGCATAGCACGTTTTCACACAAGGAAGTATTCAAAATGGTCATTTAAAAAGTTTATTACATCAGTGAATCAGCAAATAGAATTTATTTCCAACAAAGCCACATTATCTTTTTTTTTTTCTTCTTTCATCTAGATTTTGCTTTACTTAATAGTAGTAAAAATGGGACTATAAAATGTAGAATGGAGATGAAATGAAAAAGTTGAGATGTGATCTGTGGACTATTCAAACACAATGTACTTCCAGCTCTTCTACCCAAAATGCAGCCAATTTGTGCAGATTTATGCCTTACATTTTCATATCAGTGTATTTGCTACAGAATGCAAATATTTTATACCCAAATAAAACATTCCTCCAGGATAGCAATATCTTTAATTGCATAATGTGAATTCTGGTAACAGATTTGCAACAATAACAGCCTCCCTTTACAGACAAGGTGACATGAACTGGATTTATGGAAATGTAATCAAATGCACTGGATGGGATGAGTAATGGAAATACTCAGACTCTCTATCTACTGGTATTCCAACCCACCAGATGATTATTCAGTTTAATAATAAATACTCAGTCCAGCCTCATAATAATAAGGTTTTAGAATCCCCCATTAAGTTTGTTCTAAAGTGGAAAAATTCTGCTGGAGCATCAAGTAATCTTCAGATGCATTTTAATGCCTTAAAAAAAAAAAAAAAGACTTAAAAGATCTAAGAATTTAGGAATCTAAGTATTATCTAATAATGGTCTTTGCAAATTTCAAATCCATGAGCTTGCTTCAAGAAAGCAGTCAGATATCTGGAAATCTTAAGTTAGTCCAGAATGTGAACAAGACAGTAATTTTCCTTGGCTTTTGATTTCTTCATTAGTTTAGGATCCAAGGAACTGGGGGTGTTGTTCACTTGGTAGGAAAAAAAAAAAAAAAAGATGCTTTTAAACCCTGATTTACCAAAAAAAAATATAAAAGCCCAGAGATTTGCAGACATAATAAAATTTATTTAAATTCCATGCATTATGGTAGCTACAAGTGTAGTCATATGAAACTGAGGACAATAACTTCTTCTGTCCATACAATGTAGCTGTAAGTGAAATGAATGGGAGTTCCACAGTTACAAAGAAACAAACAAAACAAAACCAAAAAAAAAAAAAGAAAAAAAAAAAGAAGAAAAAAAACCAACCCAAAAATAGGTAAATCTGTTTCAATTTTGAGTTATCTGTGAATTCAGATACAGTCACTAGACTGTAAACTTTTGGGAGAGAAGATGGGCTCACCACAATTGTACAACTGCAAATGTTTAGTTTAAGACAGTCTGAAGAAGCTCTGAAGATACCTTTTAATAATTACTACTAATACTCTGGGAAAGAAAAAAAATCCCTTAGCCTTCATCCTAATTGTTCGAATCAGGACAGCAATTGCAGACAGTCCACTTCCAAAGTGCAGCTAAACAGGGTTTTATTATGCAGCTCCTTCAAGTTGTACTGAGTAAGCTTTACTTTGAACCAGTTCTGCTTTAATTTCTCAAGAAAAACTTCACTGGTCCTCGTCAGCTTACATTGCTTTTGATATGCAAAAATTTACAGACTGTGCTTGATTCTGACCCTCCCATATTTCGGTATGTGCAAATTCTTGGGGATTTAAATAGTCTGTCTCCGTCTCAGTTCAGGCTGATCTTTAAAACAGCAAGGATTATCCAGCCCTCTAAATTAAAGACAGGGTGAACTGAGTAATTTATATAACTGGCACTTTTTAATTGGCCCAGTTCTCCCACAAAATGCAGCTCTTATAAATACTAATAGGCACTATTGCCACAGATTCTCTTATTTTTGCAACTTTCACTGATTTACTGGTTGTTAGCATTTCCTGCAGTTAAGAATTTAACAACGCTGAATTTTATAAAGACACAATACGTAGTTCTAGCCTTCAAAATTGACTTACTGTGTCTAGTAATGATGTTAAGTCAACCTAGATTTGAAGTTATTAACAAATGTCAAGCTAATGAAGGTGCCACATTTGCATGAATGTTTTTTTTAGATTTTCAGAACACATTCAACAAAAGGAAGGGGCAAACCTAATTGTTTTTAAGTACAAACTTGGCTGAGTGCCCAATTGCCTCATTTAAAACTGTGTGTGTGGGGAGGCTGAGGAGTTTAGAAAAGTCCAAGTAACCAAATATCTGGGTTACTGGAGAGTTAAAAAGCTAATGCAACTGCGTTACATCCAGATAAAAAACATTATTCAAAAGCAATTCCAATACCGAAAAAGATTTCAAATTGAATAGTTTATTAACATGGTAGTCATCTTTGTAACATGTGCACACACACTCGCACACTCTGAATGATCTGCCTGGAAAAAAGAGGTCTTAATATATATGCTAGGGGGAAAATTAAACATTAAAAATCCTTTAGATTTTCATAATTATAGGCAATTATGTCCACATCACTTACAAAGCTATTGCCGAATCTTTCCAAGGAAGCAGAATTTGGGAGAAAAAAAAAAATTTCTTTTTTTTTTTTTTTTTTTTTTTTGGGGGGGAAAATTCAACAGTGGCATAGCAGAGCTCTCAATATGAGAAAGCTGACATAATGTGGACCTTTGCTGTGAAATTTGTCTTTGCAAACATGGGGAGAAGTTTATCAATGGGCAGAAAAGAAGAAGGCGGTGTGAAGTAGGCTTTTGCTGAGTCGATTTTCCTCACAGTTTTGTGCGGGGTCATTGAGAAAAATGCTTAGTCCTTCTCTGGAACCAGTTTCAGAACTTTTCCAATTGCAATGGTCTTACCTAAACCAAGGAGACAAACAGCAGAGTTACATTTACTGTGGAAAGGATGTAGAAGTCTCCAAGAACGTGAAAGCTTTCCCCAAAATAGAGGCTCTTGAGAGTATCAGAAATCATAGAGCAGAAATTGTTCTCCTGTAGCATGAAAGCATCTGTGTATTTTAAAAGCTCAAGAAAAATCTTCAAAAGAGTAAACGTGCTGTTCTCCCAGTAAAGAACACAATGTGGATTGTGGAAAGCCTGCTCTGCACTCATCTAAGGAGAAGGCAAGGCAGAATCACTACCAGATCTGTAAAGGTAATTTATTTTAAATACTTCCCACAAAGCTGTGAGTTTTACCAGGGTGTGCATAAATTAAAGACCAACACACACAACCCCTTTGATATTTTCTGCCTTTAAACAGTGAAACTATGGTATTCATACTGTAGGTGGCCACTGCAGGACACATTAAGAAAACACTGCTGGTAATCTTTCAAATCCAATCCTTTGTTTCACAGTGCACATTTCGGTACATTATCCATCCAAAGTAAAGCTTTCTGTTACCAGCAAGAACTCTGCACAATGACAACAATTTGCTTAGATTTACTTTTCCATTGTCACCCAGAGAGTGATTTCCACTAGATACCAGCATTTTAACACCTCATGCCATGCAGGATGCCCTATTTCAAGCAGCTGTACTTTTTGCAGCAGGCAGGATCTGCAGAGGAAACAGCCTTACCCTCATCCCTTAAGGTAAAGCGACCCATCTGAGGGAAATCTTTGAATGTCTCAAGGCAGATCGTTCCTGCTGTCCTTAAACGGGCAATGCAAACTTGATCTTGTTTCACAAAACGGGGCCGTGTCTTACTTTTTTCTCCTGTTTTTTTGTCTACCAAGCAGATTAAGGCCTGCACAAGAAAAAAAAAATCCATAGCTGTGATTGCTAAAATAAGAGTTATTTTTCTTTACAAACAAATGCTTACAAATAAATAAGCAAAGAAAACCTTCCAAGATTTACTGCATAGGAGTCAGTCATGACTTGCCACACTTTTTAGAAAGCTTATACTGACAGTTACAACCTTTTTTATTTGTGTTAGGAGACTGACCAAGAATTCCACTCAAGACTGAGCTTTGCTGCATTAGTGGCTCTACAAATGCATGTCCTGAAAGAACAACTCATCCCAACAACTGGACTGTCTACGGTCACATCACAACTTCAAAGGACACTTACTGTTATCTCAACTTCTTCAATACAGGTGTGGATGTGCAGCACAGCATTATAACCTGGGCAGATAATGGATTTGTGCTCAATTATCACTATCTGCAAAACAATTCAAAATGAGTGCATTTTTCCTAATTTCAATTATAAAAGAACAGAGAATAATCAAATGCAGAACTATATTAGAAGGCATAGTTGAAAAATTTACACACAAAGTTTTGTCAAAGAACTAAAATTTTAAGGTTACTAACTTGTTTATAATATGAAAGTACAAAACTGAAGAACTGGCCTGATGAGATCTTGCTTTCACCATTATAAGCATCCAAAACTTCACTGAGAACTTAAATTCAAAAGAAATGATATTTTAAAGACTCCAGTTACTGATGTCGGTGTTAAGTAAAAATGTTATTGCCCATTTAGAGATATGGTAGTGAATGAGAAATCTGAACTGAAACTTCAAACCTCTGAAGTTCAGAACTGGTGAAACACAAGAAATACTGTCATGTTTTTTATCCCTCTCTACAGCACTGAAATGCTGGTTATTGTACCTGGGCATCAAACGTGCGGCCAGAATGACAAAGGTTGTTGAGATCACAGAGAATAAATCCTGGAAGGATCTCTTCCTCTTCAATTCCCTTCAGTCTGATTTTTAGATTTTCACCTGGGGCTACTGAATCGGTTTCTACATCATCAGAAAGGATTCCAAGAACTTCCACATTGTGCTTAAAGAAAGCAAAAATGTCATTTTGTATTGTGAATATTTTAGTCTGGTACAAAATCATTTTATTGTAACGGTATTTCAATAACTAATTCCATTACATTTAAATTGACTCTATTCAATTTTGCAAGCTTCAGAACATTTAAAATATGATTTCAACTGTGATGACTTGTCGTCCAGCAACTGAGTTTCTAAGGCAGGAGAACCCAAGTTGTGAATGCTGAGGGACCACACACGCCCCCTGCCCCAGAAACTTCACCCACGTAAAGCCTGAGAGCTTGGGGGTATCCAGCAGAGCAACACAACATTTTCTCATCTAAACTAATGAGTACTTTTAAGAATCAAACTCTTTTTTTAGGGTAGTACATTTTTTTAATATCTAAACATTCCCATACCTTGTTTGGCATCATCACAAGCTGTTGTCCTTTGCAAATAGAGCCCGACTCCAGCTTCCCAAGGACCACAGTGCCCATATCCTTCACAAAAAGAAATCATTACATAAAAATTGGGAATATTTTCCTAAAGAGTCTGCTCTATTTATGATTTAACTCAAAGTTTGATTACTTAACCCTATAAAGTTATCTAGCACTGCTATACTTAATATTTTGGAAACTATTCTCATGAAAGATTACAGATTTTAAGTTTCATATAATACCAAAATTATTTACTTCCCCTTCCCACTTCTGTTTTACAGTTAAAATGTAACATTAGCAAAGAAAAAAAGATACCCTCTAAAAGGACAGTAAATAATCCATTTACTGCTCTCTGATAACAGCCCATTTATACTTTCCATCCTATTATTTTCAACTGTACCTTGTATTTATCCACGATTGGCAGCCTGATTGGTCCATCAACTGAACGGTTGAAGTTTGGCAAATTATCCAGGTATGGAATAAAAGGTAATCCACTAAAAGAGCAGAAGGCACTTGTTTCAATTTTGTGAGCACCCTTCCATTTAAAACATCACTCAGAATGGATAAATGCAGTCCAACAAAAGGAATGGTTTTCACTCTCTCATCATTAAGAACAGTGACCTCTAAGACAGTTAAATCTATTTTAACATCCCATCAGTAGTGTTCACCTTACCCCAGCTAACATATATAAAAATACATTAATACCCAGGTAGTGCATGTTTTTAAGTTACATTACAAGCATATTTTACACAAATTAATTATTCCCTTGAGAATCACAATAGATGTGTACTGTATTTTGGAACTACAAAGCTAGGTCCAAATGTGATTTCCATTAATACTTTTTAAAGTACAATGAACAATACTGAAAAACATGACATCCACTGAGAGACATGGCTTGGCACTAATTATAACACAGCTCCAAGCAAACTTTTCACATCACACAATTACTCATTCCAGCAACATGTCAACTGCAGCATCACTGGCAAATTCAAGTGCTTGTATGGCACCAAACTCACACAGCCACAAAAATACTGCTAATATTTTACTAATAATCCTCTGCAGGCAGCAAATGCTTTTTGTTGGCACATTGTATGGCTGTGTCCTGTTGCCCTGATTTATTTCCTCAAGCACTTTAGAACACAACTACAATGCAGCACTCTCTACTACCTCCTACTTCACTGTAGCATTTACTTTGATTGAAATACAGCAAATATGCAGGTGGCTCAATTTAAGATACATACATATACCAAGGACAGAATTCTGACTGTTCTTTAAGGTTTGCTCCAGTCAGTCCTGAGCAGGGCATGAAATGAATATCCTTTTTGGGATTGAAGCCAACTTTCTTCAAAAATGGCACCAGTTTCTCTTTACATTCCTCATATCTATTAAAATGACAAGCAGATCAAGATAAGTTTCACTTATTCTAGCATAAAATAATACTGTGCTCTAAAAAAAAAAAACCAAACCCCCCAGACATATAATTTTCCTCAGTTAGGTTACTACGTGAGCAGCAAGCAAACCTTATAAAGCTTAGTGGCCTATTTGCATCTTCAACCTTCCAGCACAACATGGTGTTGTCTATTCCCCTCATTCCTCTGCTCCATAAAGCACCACCAGTTTTCTCCATCTCCTTCAGTTCTGGGGCTGGGGGAGCAGCGGCACCTGGTGAATGTTCTGAGCAAGATACCCAGGCCAGCACGGCAGGCCAGGCCAGGCAGCCACTGAGGTGCTGCTGCAGCCTTTCACTTCACTGCTGCCTCGGCCCCCTCCAATCTCCTACAAAAGTTCAGAAGGGTTTGTGCTGTTTCTTTCTGGTACAATTCTTCCTCGTGGTTTTGCCTGAATTCAGCATCAGAAGGTTGGGGCAGGACCAAGAGAGCACAGGTCTCCCAGTAAAGCAGGATGATGCTCCAAAGTTGCACAGGCCCTCACGGCTTTCCTCAGAAACCTTCCCAATTCCTGGCAGCACACACAGCAAATTCTGACAACTCTGGCAACCTCCACTACTGAAAAGAGGCAATTCCTTTTTTAAAATTCAGTATAAAGTTTCCAAGTCAACAATTAAACTATGTTAGAATGCATGGATTTGTTAGATAGGTCTGCAAGGATCCAAAGAAATGAAAATGGATGTTTTAAAGTAATGCAGAAGTTCCAGCTTAGTTGAGAGGCATTGTCCTAGGCACAATGCTTCTGCTTTCCTGCCATTCTTATAACCTGTCTTTAGTCCACCAGTTTACCATTCTTCCACAAAAGGGGATAGAAGATTACTTTACCTAGGAATTCTTTTATTTCAGTGTCTTTCAATGAAGAGAAATTTTTTTAATATTGAACTCACCTTTCGTTACTCCAGTTTACAGTTGGGTCATCCATTTTATTAATAAGAACTATTAAATGTTTTACACCTGCTGTTTTTGCTAACATGGCATGTTCTCTTGTTTGTCCACCTTTCTCAAATCCAGTTTCAAACTCTCCTTTTCTTGCAGAAATAACCTAATTAAAAATATGTATTTTAATAAAAGTTCTACAATTTTCTCAACTGCACAATCAACAGTGGAAAATACTGACTCATTTAAAAATAACTTTGAGTAAGTCAAAACTAGTAAAAGCTTTCAAAATGCACTGGTATATCCTTAATGTTACCCATTAATTTCTGCACTGACATAAAGAAATCATATGACATCTGTGGACAATTTTAAGAATCTATTAAGTTACTCCAAAACCCACTCAACTTGATAAACTTAACATTTGAAAATTCTGTTGTAATTAACCAAAAGATTAGGCAAGCAAACAAAAAAAATAAAAATCAAAAATTTAATTCCACAGTATACCCAAAATAAAAGTATCTGATTTGTTCTTACCAGCACAGCAAGATCAGCTTGAGAAGCCCCACCAATCATATTTGGAACAAAGCTCTTATGTCCAGGAGCATCTAAAATAGTGAAGTGTTTCTTCTCCGTTTCAAAATAGGCACGACCCACTTCTACTGTTTTACCTTTGTCTCGTTCTTCTTGGTTTGTGTCTAAGGCCCATGAAAGGTACCTAAAAAAATCCCAACCCAAATACTCTATTTTTGTATTAATTTTTATATGATTTGTTATCATTAAATGTCTTTTTTTCTACGCAATTATTCTAACCATGTCAGCATTACCAAACTTAAGCATTTCCAGGACCAATAGTGACTTTCATTGACTGTTTTACTCCCTCTATCTTTGATAATTTGATCATATAACTGCTGTTCCCTCCTCATTATTTTATCCCAGTGGCCACTGACAAGTTAGATTTCAGTCAGAATGGGCAACTCCCAACAGGGGGATGATGGTTGCTTGGTAAAAAGAACATAAGTCAGCCTTTCTATTCCCCTCCCTCACACACAATACCGTCAGTTCAGCTCAGTGCCCATCCCCTCAGTGCTCCATCATCGCTCCATCCCTAAGGAAGTCTTTAGCTGCTCCTTTTCCAGAGCCCTTTGAACCCCTGTTATCCTCCACCACAGCCAAAACCAGAAAGCTTTCAAAAGGGAAATCAATCTTCAGGAGCAGTTTGAAGGAGGAATCCGCTGCTACAAGTGCTGTCTGTGCACACACTGCCCCCCAAACCCAGCAAACCAAAACGTGACAACAAAACCCAAACCAGAGGCCAACAAAAAATCCCCCCTTGCCAAGAGCCTGAAGGAAGGCAGGACTGGAGGGACAGAGCCCCAATCAGCTGCCCATTTCCCTGCACTGAAAAGAGCAAAGTGTGCTGTTCTATCTTCAGAAGGTTCATACCATGTTTCTCTGTTTTTTTCTTTAGCTTCTCTTTCATATTTTTCAAGTGTTCTTTTGTCAACCATCCCCGTCAAATACCTAAGGAGATGAAGGGAAAAAAAAAAAAAAGGTGCAATTTTACATGAAGCAGAACCACATTTCCAAGTAGTTAAATCCTTATACAATCCTTACAGATTATTTTGAAAAAATGGCATAGCCTGATGCTATCAGCAGTGGAATTTTTTCTGCACAAAAAGCTCCCTCATTATCTGATATGTAAAAGGACACCAGCACCACTTCAGCAGGAGTATGAGGAATGTCTTTTTTTTATAAGCCTAATTGTAAAATGTTCCACAGAGGCAAGTTTTCAAAGGGAACTACATCTGTTAATTTTGATATATTGAATTAGTCTCAGACTTAAGTAAAAATTGTTATAGAATAATTTTTCACACCCCCACCCCATTTCTGAACTGTAAAGAAAAGTAACTTTGGTTTCATTTTTTTTACATAGAAGAGTAAACTGGTATTTCAAGAGAGCTTTCAGTTATGAAAATAAGCAAGTACTGTACAGTTGTATTATATTAAAAAATTAATTTTTTTTCCTCAGCTATTTCTACCCAATCTTCTAACAATAGTAACCTTCTGAATTTATCAGGACAATTAAAGATAACAGTAAATAATGGGTTAATGACAAAGTTGATACAAGCACACAATTTTTCCCCCTTACATCAAAGGGATATTGTCCAAACCTGAAAGGCCCCAGAAAGCTTTGGGAACACAACACATCAGCAGGAGTGTTAGGAACAGGCATCTCCTTGGACAAGGAGAATACTCAGACACATCAGATAATAAAATGCTAATTTGCTCTAGTATGAACTACAAGGTTAAATGCAGCATGACAATTCTGACATTCCACTTTGGTCAAAGCAAAACAAGATGAAAATGCCAAGACAAAGACCTCCCACTTTTGCTGAGAATATTATTGTAAAATCACAGAAATACTAAGTGTCAGCAAATAGCATTTCCATTTTTACAAACTGTAAAATCTAGCTGCATTTATTTACTTTTATCTTATATTGCAGATATTGGCACATTTTGAAATCAAATTAAGTCTGACAACATTTGCACAGAGGAATAAGGGTGTTACATTTTTTTCAGTTTTCTCAAAAAGGACAAAATTTAACAAAAGGGATAAAGCAGTTTCAAACAGCATATTAAAATAATGAAGAAAACCAGCCACGTTCTTAGAAAATGATTCAGGTTTTAAAATTTAATAAAGTGTGGTTTTGCATAGCTGTTTCCATTAAGTGAAAATCCTACAGCAATAAAATTGGTATGCTGGAATAAAGGAATTCCAAAGACAATAAGTAACTAAATTGATTGGGACAGTAATATTATACAAATATTCTTCTATGCTGACTAAAGCCATAAAGAAAATATCACTCATTTTAATTGATGTTTTTTAATTCACAAGAAATCTAAAAATTTAAAAAATCTAAAAAATCTAAAAAAAGAAATTTAATTCACAAGGAATCTAAAAATTTAAGTTTCCTTACATTATTTGTCCTCCAATAGTTGACTTGCCAGCGTCTAAAAAGAAAATAATAAATAAAGTCATGCACAATTTAAAAGAAAATCCTAGCAAAAGAAAACCATTATGAACAAAGTCATCTGATTGAATTTCAAAAGATTTATTTTTTTAACCATAATCTAAGTTTTTTGAGGCATCCTGTACCTTTCCTCGTCCCCGTAATAATTTGTTGTCAATTCAATTACACTGAATTTTGAAAATTCTCTTTTCATACATGCAAATTTGGCATTATCCATAACAAAAACCTCTCAACAAGGAGTGCTCCAGCTAAAGCAGGGGTTAAGAGTGTGGGAAGCTCATGCAAAATCCCTTTCCCTGCTTCCTTTATCCCTTGTCTCCAACTTGGGTGGGCTGCTCTTCAATTCTGGGATGTACCTCTGCCCCTTTCCTTTGGGTGACTCCCTTTTGCATTTACCCAACTACAGCTACAGCTCTTCTAAGGTGATAAGAGACTGAACAAATGCAGAGAGAGAATTTACTGTGTAACTCATGATTCGATAATTCTTCTCTACTTCTGACACCACCAAAGTTCTTCTGAAGCTTGCTGAAACTATTAAGGAGAATATTTTGCTATAAATGCTCCTTTTAAATATGAATTAATCTATTGTTTGTAACTCTGCAATTTTTACTATTTAGAATAATAGTTTTTTAATCTAACAGTAAAAACCCTTACCCTTCTAATTTAAAATAAGCAGAAAAGAAGCACTGCTTTCTGATTTTGTTTTTTAGATCAGAAACATGTCATCACTTCAGCACTCAATAGGAGCAAGCACTTGAGAAATCATGGACACAGGCACTGCTGTGTCCAAGGGAACACACTCTGCCCTTGTTGGCACTTTAGCCCTGAGAGACCTCCTTTACTTCTTTTCATTTTTCCAGAGCAGCTTCATTAGAATGAACGCTCCCATTGCCCTCAAGACACAGTGAAGCCACAAATCCCCACAAAGGACAGCATTAATTTCTAATCCTCTAAGTTCTGGCTAACACACAACACAAAGATCCAATTACTTCCCACTCCCAACTCACCTACGTGTCCAATGAATACTACATTTACATGCTCTTTTTTGGGAGCACCTGGAGGTGCTACAACGGATTTGGGTTTTGGTATTTCCTCCTCCTCTTCCATCATTTCCTGAGCGCTTTCTTCAGAAGGCCCCGAGTCCCCTGTGGGGCCACTGCCAAGCTCTGCTTCACTTGTTTCTTCTTTGTGGTCCCACGACTCTTCCGGGGACATTTCTGTCTCTCCATTTTCCACTGAAAATCAACCAGCCAGATATATTCAAATGATGAAGAAATTAAAGGCAATTACTATGGGGGAAAGCCCCGACCCCAGAGATGCAACCAAAAGGTTTTAACTGCCCATCTGTGAACGTCTCCCTAAATAAAGAGGGATAACTGTTGCTTGTTCCTGACATTATCAGTACCAGAAGCTTTCAAACCAGCTCGTGTGCTGACATAAGACATCTATGATTCACAGGGATTAAGGAACTTCTGAGTTAACCAGGCAACAATTTTACAAAGAAAAAGCAAATCTGAAGCTCCACTCAGCCCACCACGCTGGTCCAAATCCACAGCCACACATCGTGTGATTGGACAGCCAAGGAGAGGGACTGTAGTCAAAGTTTGCTCCTAAGCCACATTAGAACAATGAGAGATGCAATTTCCACCTTCTGGTCGCTCATATTACTGATCACTTTGAAAGTTTTTGTTAATCACCATTCCAAATATATGAATGGGACTATTTTGTAATAAGAAATTATTTTTTTAACACAGCACTGATACTCTGATTGCACCTGTCAGCACACACAGGTGCTTAATTATCTTTCCTCATCCAAGTATAAAGACACAACACGAAATAGTAAGGACCAAAAAAGGAAAGGTTCTTCCATTTTGTTTGCAGTGGTTCAGCAAAAGCACTATATAGTACATTATAGTACTATCACAGTGAAAAAATTCTCATCTTACCAACAGATTCTGAAATTTCCATGTTAACAGCAGCATTTGGACCTGGGGGGAAAAAAAGGGAAAAAAAATAAGGCATCATTAAAGACACACATTTACCATGATAGTATCAACGACAGAGAAAGATGGGAGTGACTAAATTTATATAAGTAGAGTTTGGATGTTCTGGCATTTGTCAAAACTACTCAATATACAGATCCAATTTCAAAAATTCTGCTTCATGCAAGTTTTATGATCTTCCATAATCCACTTTATGCACCTTGTTCAACTGCCTATAAAACTGTAAATAACTGCAGATATCCACATTTCCTCCCAATAGTAGTATAAGGATTAAGATAATGAAGACTGAAAAGGTTCACAGAAATTTTAAAGAGGAGATTCTTTGCAATAATTTAAAAAAAAAATGTTTAATGGAGTTCTATCAGAACACAAAAACAACTACCTTCACAAGAGGCTGTCTGCTCCTCTGGAGAAGTCTCTACAGGTGCACCTGGAGAGAAAGAAGTTTTTTTTAAAATACAATGATGTAACTAATTTCCAAACTTTGGCATAAAAGACCATCTCCCAACTTTACTGCATGAAGTGTATTGAGAGAACAAACACCTCCCTCCCTGCCAAGCACTACCAAACAGCCTCAGAGCACAAATACTGCTGAAGAACACTGCCTACAGCTTGGGAAAACCATACACCAGCTCTAAGCCCAGGCCATTTATTGCCCTACATGGAAAGATACACTTAAAACAAGCAATTTTTCTACATGTAATATTTTACTTGCCCACCTTTTTGGGCATGCTGGCTATTTGAAGTTTTAGTGTCTAACTGGGGTTTCAAAATGAGAAAGCAGTTTCAGTGTATCCAAAGGAACAATGTGCCTGTGGTGTCACAAGTGCTGGGAAAGGCTCTGCCAGCTCCAGCTAACGGGCACATCTACACGGCAACTGCCTCACTTCCACAGAAACACTGAGGAGGAAACTCAACCAAGCCACGAGGAATAAATTCTTATGATCCTCTGGGGTTATGGAGTCAAGCAATGATCAACTTCAGGTGCCTGTAAGTTTGCCAGTCCCCTTAAACACCATCATATGGTCACATTACTTGGTGGGCAATCTCACCAGTCACGTGCTAATCAAAACCATGGGTACGTTTTTTGGATAAATCACTCAACTGTGCTAAAATGCACTCATGTACTAAACTATATGCTGAGGTATAACTAATTATTAAACCTACCAAGAGTGATACATTCCTATTAGCAATTACAGCACTTGATATTTTAGAACATTATTCCACATGATCAAGAGTTCTTCTATAACCATCCCTAAAACCTTAACCTGTTTAGATTTCTCTTGATATAAATTCAACTTCATAATTCTTCGAAACAAGTTCATTATCTTTTTTTTCAGCCACATCCCAAATTCATACCCTCTGTTCAGCTGCACTCCAGCTCTCCTTCAATTCAACTACACACACAGATCTTAGGGCATCACTTGCTCTATATGCACGATGGGCCCTAAAGATGAAACAAATCCCCTCAAAAGAACAAAAGCACCCAGAGAAGGACCTCGTTCTAAGCCTCTTTGCTTTGGCACTGTTTGCGTATTTGCTGCAGCCTCCTCTGAACTGGAGCAGTGCTGGGAGAGCTGGCCCAGGGCCAGAGGACAAAGCAGGCAGGGGAATGTGGGTCACAGCACAACATCCAGTGGCCAGCAGCAAACTGTGCAGGGGCACAGCTCAGGAGGGAACTGTTCCCTGCACTCCTGTGCTGGATCAAATATGAGCTACAGGAACAAAATCTTAAGAGAATTGTTTAATATGTAAGTAAGAGCATAAGAACAGAATGCCTTGAGATCCCCTGTAAGAAGTGATGTGTTACTCCCATTTGGGAGCTGGAAAAGCCTCAACTCAGTCCCTTTAGGAGTGTGGGAAGCAGGTGGCAGAAAGCTCAGGTGTGAACCTAAAGCCTCCATTTTGTACCCCATCAGAAGATTGTTGGCTGTTTCACACACACTGTGGTTGGGATGCATAAATATTTTCATTACAAGATCATTTCCACAAGCTTTTGATTTCACTCCAGAAGTTTGTCCATAATGAAAAAGATATCAAATGACAGTATTTATGCACTTGTTTTGAAACAGAAGCTCTACAAGCAGTTGAAGGCTTAGTTAATTTCTTAGAAATATACTGTCAATCAACAGCATTCAAAATAAACTGAGTTTTGACTTTCTGGTCTCTAATACAGCAGGTGTGCAGATAGGGAAAAAAGGGTCTTCATAACAAACAAGAGAAGAGGTAGAAAAAAAGGTCCCTCCGTTAAATTTTGTGCAAGTCTAGCACACAAGAGAGTCAATAGGACAGTCTGTGCATGGATGCTGAAGAGTACTAGTGCCACACAACTAGATATACTCAGTTATAACCACAGCTATTTACCAAATTCTGGTCACTTGGGTACACAAGTGGCAGATGTGCTTTGTAAGAGGACACTGAATGATATCAAACCTACACTGTTTCTTCAAAGCAGAAAGAAACACAAACCACTCTCTAAAAAAGTTCATTGTTAAGAAACCAAGTAAAAAAATAAATAATCTAAACTTCAAAACTAACATGCTCTAAGCCAGTAAATGTCTGAAGTGATGCCTCAAGTTACGGGATTACCCATTATAGACACATTAGATTTTACACAGCACCCTCCACACTCCATCTCCTCAAGCCCTAAGTCAAGAACTGCCACTGCAGCTTTATTCCCAGTATTACATGGAGTGAGTGGTTTATCTTTAGTCCTGTTGAACATCAGAGCCTTAGGCCATTTTTTGGAATATCTTTGTTGTCAATGCCAAAGGCAAAATTGGATACACACGCTGCATTTACCTACTGGCACCCCCAATGACATTATATAATCCAGTCTTGTCTGATTAAGGTAATTGTTTTGGGGCATTTTAAGTATAAAATTCACTGAAGGAGTGTGCACATTCCTAATAAAGAGTCCAAAACTACACAGTTTTAAAACATGGTGACTGATCTCTTTAAAATAGAGATCATGTCCTGCCTGCTTCCTGCACACAGCCTTCCACTTCAGCTGCTGAGTTTGTTGCACATCACACCAAGTTTTGTACTTAAATGCATTTCTGCTGTACAATAACCAAAGCTGCACAGGTAGAGCAAATTAGAAATTATCACCCAACCTCTGAAAGTATTGTTTTAAGAGAAGAGTGAAATATGGGAACTTTGCAGCATTAACAGATTAGAATGCTTGTACATAAACAACAGAAAATTGCTTTTTAAATAAATTTATATTAGAATGTAGCAAGTTTTTCCTTTATAGGATATATACACCTGGTAAAATAAGAAGCAATATTACAAGAAGTGCAGTCAAAATACAGCATTAAAGTCAAACTCAAGGGCTAAGCAGTAATAACAACTTCCACCTTTCCCCAAAGTGCAGTGTTCACCAGATTTACTGGAAAAGCTGCCAGAGGTCTGCACAGAAGGCAGCATAGTTCAGCGGTCACCTGGGAACTCCTCAGCACAGGTACCTGAGCCACGATGCAAATGCCTGCCCAGAACTGAGGAGAGGCAGAATTGTTGCAGGGCAGGGATAAGAACCCTGACAGGACTGGAACAACTGGGCTGGACTGGGGGGTTAATGAAACTGCTGGTGCCACACAGCTCAGAGATTGAAACAAAAAAGGGGAAAAGAAGAAAGGTAAATTCAGTTTGAAAGCAGCATCTTATCGATAAAAGGTCTGTATAGTGAATTTGTTATGGCTCCTCTAATACAGGCATCAGATTCCTTCACTGGAATTCCTGGAAGGGAGAAGAAACACATGACACCACCTTAGGATTCCCATCACCTTTCTGTATGTGTGATTTGGATACCCGAGTTCAGCACATATTTACACAACAGTCACCCAGTCTCAACAGTTCACATGAATTACATAACAGATGTTTGACCCCTCCTCCCATTTTTTTGTTAAATAAAAGCATAAATGGAATTACAGCTGAGTAAAAAAAAAAACAAGTCTGTGTCAAATGCAGCATGAGAAGCAGAATAAAACAACCCCAAGAGATTCTTAGTTAACAAAAATGCACAGAAAATTACTTTAAGCACAAATAAGTGCTACAGCTGAGCAAAATATTTTATATTCATTATTTCAAAATATGCAGAAAGAAAAGGGTTTCAAGAGTTCACTGTAAGGTAGTTGTTATGAAAGTTAAACCCCAACTTATTTTCTTCCCATCTCTGTCCTGCTCCATAGCTGATGCCCCAGCTTCACCAGTGGACACAGAGATGTATGCCCAGTTTTTAAAATGCACCAAGGTAAGAGCAGCTCTAACAGTTTAACATGACTGCAAAATTCACCAAAAAAATTAGCACTTGCTTCATATTCATAGGATTTTGTTTTGACCCACCTTTCTCCTTCTCTAGTGTGGACACACCTTAATTTTATCTTATCTAAACCCCACACGCTTCTTAACAACTAAGTCTAAGAAAGCTCACGGGGATTTTCAGAGAATATAATGAAAACCCCTTTTGCTTAAGGTCAAGTATTTGTGCTCAGCTGATAACTTGATTTTTGAGACAGATAATCCAGAAATCAAACTCAGTATTTGAACAGGTCAGAACTCCGCTCTCTAACAAAGATCTCTCATAACTACTTAGTATTTTTAGCATAACCCATAATTTTAGTATGGCATCACCTGTCCTAAACTAACTTTTGTACTGAATTCCAGACACTGTCATTTTCCTACAGACCTCTTCAAAACACAGTCATAAATTACATGGATTAAGTTACGACTGCTTTATTCCTTCATAATAAAAAAAAAAAACCCAAACCAACAAACCAAACACCCCACAACCAAATAAAACCCCAAAAAAACTCACAAAAACAGCCCTCCCCATCTTTCTACCTTAGTTCATACAATCAGCTGCTTTTCTTGCTTGCGTGTCTCTCATCACAAAAGAGGACAAAAATCCCCAAATTCCTAAAGTGGAATTGTAAAACCGAACTATAAATAGAATCTAAGAACCATCCCAATTTATTTTTGAGTTCATTCTGATAGAGCAATCAAGGTTTAAGAGATAACATCATGCTTTCAAGCACGTTAAGTGAGTAGCTGTAGCCAGCGTGCCAAACACGTGGTCAGCAGCCTCCTGTCCACAGGCGGCTCCCAGGGCCTGTTTTTTCTTGGAGTCATGCAAGGCCACAAGTGCAATGAATTATTCTACCAGGAGCAACACAATCCTGGCTGCCTTTCTGGGGACACTTCAGAAGCAGACAAAGGACACCTGTGTGATACACTGGCACCCTGACTGCATCACACGGGTGTATTGTATCTGCTCACCTGGCAAGGCAGAGCCAAGACATGCAGCCTTTCTCTGTTCCAAACGTGGCTGTGCAGCTCATCTGTCAGGACAGGCTGATACAGAACTGCTCTAGACAGTCAAGTGACAACTGCAATCAAGACTTTCAGATAAGAACAATTTCTCCCATATACTGGCATTCACAATACAACACTGATTTGCTGCCATGTGAGCAGTGCAAGCTCACAGCTCTGAAGCATTACCAGCAGCATTACCAACAGCCAGTGGCGAGGAAATCAGCACAGGGCTGTTCACAGGCTGACATGAGCACACCCTGTCACCCTTTAACACAACAGCTTCTCCAATGGCAGTTTTAGACAAAATGTTTTCAGCAAATTCATGTGCAAAGTGAAGTCTCTCGAGGAATGAATTGTTAAAGATTCTTAAAACACAGTCTACAGAGAACAGTGTAAAACAAGATGACCAGCTTTGGGGAACACAGGGATACAGGTAACTCATCATCCTACTCTGGGAACTACAGGCTCCAGAACTAAAATAGAAAATCCTGAAACTCCTGCCCTAGTGCCTGACTGGCAGCATGGGGGGAATACATGGATGTCCCAGCTAGCTACAAGGTCAGAAAAAATGAGGGCAGGGAACACCAGAAAGATAAATGCTACAGCCATTTATTTACAGCATTTGAAGGCTGAAGGTGCCCAGCTGCTGGAATGTAACTATTTCAAAAGTGGCTACTGCAGGTGAGTGAGGATATTTCGGGAGTGAAGCAAACTGAAGGGCACTGGATCTTTAGTCAGATGTTTGCTTGGCTCAGGATTGTAAGTGCAAGTTGTTTAAACTGTAGTCATTAACAAAGATGTTCAGAAAGTTCCTTGAAGAGGTCAAGGGAGCTACTAAATGAAGCAGCAGCACTAACAGCACTAAAGGATAAATGCTGGCTTTCTTTACACCGGCTGTTCTTGTTACTTTTGTACTAATGACAGCCTTTTTTCTTACTACAACTACTGCATACTTCAAATCATTGAAGAATTCAGCTTGGAAGGGATCCCAGGAAGTTATCCAGTTTAGTCTCCTGCTCCAAGCAAAGTTAACACTTTGAGTGAATACTTAAAAAGCAATTCTAACAAGAAAAACTAACCTGAAGTATAGAAAAGACCATACAAGGAAAGTGTGATCAATTTTACCAAGAATCCTGTGAATATTCAAGAACTATGACAAAAACTGAACCACAAGAATGCAGATTTATACTGCATCTGCAGAAATGTTTCGCTTCTTGCATACCCAAGATCCAAAAAAAAAGCCAGATAATAAAGTCTTATTAATCAAGGGGTTGGTGTTCACTATACCCTCTGAACCATGCCTTGCTACAGAAATGAATTAAAAAACCACCCAAATGTAATTACATTTTACATACAGCTACAAAATTAGTAAAACAGTACAAAATTAGTCAGAGATGCTAAAGAAGAGTGAAGTTGCAAGGACCAGTTGTGACTAAGAACATTTAGAAGCCTTAACACAACCACACCTGGCCTTAATTGAGTTGTTGGTCCAGCAGCTGCTCCCTACAGAAAGTTCCCCTGTCCATGACATCCTTCCATTCCATGTCCAGTGAGACAGAGAACAGACAAGTCTCCATTTCACATTTCCACAGAATCCAACAGGTAGAGATTTTACACAAAAGAGTTTGACTTGGACACAACTGATGAAAGCAAGTCCTGACAGCTACAGCATTTGGAACATATTGGTTTTAATATGCTGCTTAGGTTCAAAAATGTAAATAACATGCTTTTCACATATAATCAAATGGTAATTTAATTCCATACTAATTCCAAAACTATCTGCAAGCAGAAATTATGTTGATGGTAAACATCATCCAGCTCTTCTCCCTTATATACAATTTCCAATCAAAAGAAAGGATGCATAAACCAGAAGTTTTAAGGTAAAGTTGTCAGAATGCAGGTCTCAGGAGTTGCCCAATTTTAGAAAGTTAACATCTTGTTCCCTAAATGGCTTCCAAGAGTGTTATTTCTGTGCTCTAAACATAAGTGACAGGAATTTTATTCAAATTACTAGAAACATGAAGTTAGTGTGCATAAAAGGAAAAAATACCATTACACACCACAGCCACACAATGGAATCAGTCCTGGGGAATTTTTTTATATGCCCTGGCGCTACCACACATTTACCCTGACCTACAATGCCCTTTGAATTACTGAGGAATTATGACTTGAACGAAACCTCACCGAGAGAAAGTTCCAAGAAGAAAAGCATTATTAGCACTTAACTTTAGGCCACTGAAGTTAAACTGACACCCAGCTTTTTATATTTTTCCTAACAATCCAGATTAATTTAGATTCTTCCCAGTACAAACCACATAATGAAGAGTGAGTGTCACAGGACACCTATGGGGGAAAAAAGCAAACTGGGTTGCTGAAAAGCAACCTATTCAGCACCACTGTCTAATCACATGTTGTTCTGACTTATTTCCAGAGCAAGCTCCACCTAGTTCTTACAGCCAGGAAAGTAGTTGTCACCTTATACAAACATCTGCAAGGAGAAGACTGTCAATTAATTTCTGTACCCACATACATCAGACCTCAAAAAGTACATAACAAGTACAGTATTCCAGTTAAGAAAGTTAGTTTTTTATAACTGCAGATTTTTGTCTGCTTAAACTTAGGGATATTGAAGTTACTTAGAGAAACTCAAAATCCTAAACCTTAAAGAAGATATAACATCAAGGTGAATTCGAACCAGGTAGAATATGGCACTGTGTAAGAAATGTACTCAGCAACTAAGATGCAAAGAAAAGCCTTCCTGATCACTCCAGATGGCCAGGCAGCTTTCAGTAAAGTCATCTCTAGTTTCTGGAAAGACAAAGCTCATCACAGGCCTCAGAAGTAGCAAGAGCGGAACAAAGGACAGTGTGACAAAATAAATCTAATGAGCAGGTGAGGAACTGTAGTTTAAATCCTACCAAAAAATTAACTATAGGAAGCCTCAGATGAGACCTTACAAAAGTAACCAGGAGAAAAAAAAAACACAAAGTTACACTAAAAACATTCAAAACACCAAGAAAGTTTTCAGTCACAGTACTGACTACATAGTAAAAAAAAAATACTTGGATTCAGGTTGCAATATCTGGAAAACGTTGGTACGAATTTTGAAGATTAGTCAAAGGTGCATCACGTGTCCATCATAACCTCGAGGTACCCAGTCTGCCCTTACAACCTAAACATGTATATTTACTCTAAATGGAATCCAAGGATCTGCCCGTGGCTTCCTAGAGGTATATTTTAATGCACTTATATTTTGCCTGCATAGTACATGAGCTACAACTGATGATAAAAATCAGGAGCGCTGAGCAGCAGTAGAGAACACATAATCTAACATTTGCTCTACTATCAGAAACAGGCTATAACGTTCTGCTGTGACAAATTTAAAGTTTCATATACGAAAGTTACAGTTTTTAGTTGCTAACACTTGATAACTTTAGATACTAGGGAGAGCAAGACTAATTAATGCATTAAAGCAGAACACAATAAATAATAAGCCAGAGCCAACAGGAAATCGCACAAATATCATGTAGCAAGTAGTCTCTTTAGTGAAATTAAATTACTAGATAAATACCTAGAACAGTAGCTTGATTCATATTACACCAACAGGAATAATTCAAAAAAATTACAGAAAAAATAGGAAGGCCTTAAACTCCTTAGCTGCAGGAGTGACATTAAAATGCTACCACAAAGTTAACCAGCATGTCTGATATTTGGAAGGACCTTCAGTTTGGAGCTGGAAATGAAAAAGTAGCTCTCCTTTCATTTCCCCTATGCAAAGTAAATCTAGTATAAACACTGCTTGCGTACACAAAGATCCTTTGAAATTAAAAGCAGGATAAATTTCAAGTTATTCCATTCCCTGAGGCCGGCTGGACATAACTCCCTTCCCTGCTAATCCTTTATCAGCATTAGGTTGGAAAAAAATAACTACTTGATATAATCCTCAAAAAGACATTTAAGACACATCTGAGCCACTGGTGGCCGAGGCAGTGCTGTTCTCCCCAGCAACACCAAATTTATGACCACCAAAACCTCCGACAATTCCTGTCGTGCTTTAGGAAGGTTTCCTCTCATCATGGGTGACCCTTTGCGAGCAAAGGTACCAGAGAAACGCAGAGGGGACCGGCACGCAGCCAGAGCACCCCAACCAGCACCCCCATTCCTGGGCACGACCCCCGCGGCCGGCCAGGCCCCGCAGAGCCCCCGCCGCCCGCAGAGCCCCCCGAGCTCGGGGGCTCCCTCACCGCTGCCCCAGCGCTGCTCCCCGGCTCCCCACGGCCCGGCCCAGCCCCTCAGCGCGGAGCCCCCCGGCCGTGCCCCTCCCGCTGCCGAGACCCTCCTGCGGTGGGGCCCCGCTGCCGCCCCCCGGTGCCCCCGGTGTCCCCCGGCCCGGCCCTTCCCCGGCCCCGCGGGCCCGGCGCGCTCCCAACATGGCCCCGGCCCCGCGGGTACCGTGTGGCGGCGGCGGGAGGCCGGGCGGGGGCGAGGGCGGCGGCAGGCCGGGCGCGGGGCCGCCCCGCAGGAAGGACGGCACGAACTCGGCGGCGTGGACGTTGGGCACGAAGGGCTTGGCGTTGACGTTCAGCTGCCGGCTGAAGGCCGCCCCGAGCAGCTCCTGCTGCGCCTCGGCCTCCGCGGCCGGCGGGGCGCAGCCCGGGCCGGCGCCGCTGCCCGGCTCGATGTCCGCCTGGTCCCAGCAGTCGGGGGCTGAGTCGCTGCTGCTGCCGCTGCCGTTCGCCTCCATTTTGTGGCGGCCCCACAAAGCTCCGCGCCCCGAAGCGTCTCCCGGGTGAGGGGGGAGCCGGCGGCGGCACCGACTCAGCACTCGCTCCGCCGATTCCGCGTGTGCTCCGCCGCCCCGACGCGAGCGCAGCGTGGCCGCCCGCGGCTGCCGTACCCGCTCCCGGCAGCCTCCCCGGCCGCCATCGCCGTAGTTTTTATCTCCCCGGGGCCTCGCCCCGCCGCGCGGCCGAGGCCCGAAGTCGGAACTACAACTCCCATCGGGCGCCGCGCGAGCATCCTCGGCCCGCCTCCCCGGGCCAGACGGGAAATGCAGTCACCTGCGTTCTCTGCGCGCTGGGGGACTACAGTTCCCGGCAGGCTCCGCGCGTCGCCGCCGGCCCCGCCCCCCTGCAGGAGAGCACGGCCCGGGAGTGGCGCGAACGCCTGAGGGGGACGAGACCGTCTGGCCCGCGGGGACCGCCCTGGGGAACCTCCATCCCTGTAAAACCGCCCCGCGCTCGTCCTGGACAGCACCGGTGCAGAGCGACAGGCACTGACAGCACCCGCGCTGCGCCAGCAAAGCTCCCAGAGGAAAGCTCCCACACGTGCTCCCGCGGGATGCCACAGGCGACGCTGCTGTACCCGTCCAGCCGAAAGTTGGCAGGATGCGTGAAAAGTCCCAATTTTGATAATTCAGCACACTTTGACTTGGTTATTATCAATTTAGAAACGATCCAGTTAAGCCAGATTCAGCAGGACTTGTCGAATACTGGAGGCCCTTGACTGGTGTGACTATGAGAAATTATTAAAAAACCCCACAACTCCTCAACAAACAAACCTCAAATCATTGCTTGAAGTTAAGTGTCTTTTGAAGAAACGGTGAAGGGCAGAGGGGAAACAAACAGAATTTGGTTTCTACTGTGGTAGCATTTCTTCTTGCCAGGTTCAGTTTGAGTGTTTATAAGAAGACGGAGCAAGTCCTTGGGAGAAGGGAGTTCCTTGGAGTGCTGACGTGCAAGGCCTGACTCATCTGCAGCAGTATCTATATTAGAATGCTGAAGGACGGATTACAGAGTTGTTCTGAAAGTAGATGGGCTAAGAACTACAATGTAAAGGTCTCCATTTGGGACAGAACTCGGTGCAGTTTTGATTGGAGAACACAAAGTCTCCTGAAGGGGCATTTCGGTGACATAATCCTGACACAAGGACCAGAGGGTTTCTGCCTGCACACCAGCAGCAACATGTACACCCTTGACAAGCAAAAAATTCTACGTGTGTTAGTGGAAATGCGGGCTTCCAGCTGATCACGTTGAGGGAAAACACTGTACAGGGCAGCACTTGTAAAAATAATAAGAAAAATATCCTCGCTAAACTAACACCACAAAAACTGATTTTGGAAGAAAAAGTGTATTTCACATGAGAGACTATACAATTCTGCTAAGTTAAAGTCTTTTCTTCAAGCAGCACCAAGAGTTTACCTTCACCAGAGCCAAAAGAATGAGTTTTAAAGACCTTGTGAAAGCCACTCTCTGGTTGGTCTCTGGTGCACAGCTCCTTGCCAGTTTTCAGACATAGATTGCCACAGTCTCTATTGTTCAAATACTAACCTTTGCTTGTTAGGTGACATCTAGGAACCAGTAGGTGTGTGAGACATTTCATTTAGTATGGAAAAAAGGTAACAGCATTTCAAGCAATGGAGCTCATGGGTTACTAGTGTTGAATAACAGATAAAACTCCAGTGGCAAGCAAGCTTCATGCATTCTGCTGACCCAGTGCTTGTTATTTACTGTCACTATGAGCATTTAACAGCTCAGGTTTATAGTGACTGCAATGCTGCATTGCAAGCTTGCGTTTTGTTTGAGCCCTGACACGGCCTGCAGGTCAGGAAAGGCTGAACCGGAGGCAGGTGCTGTATTTTCAGAGCAATTAAGACTTGCCTTAAGATTACCAGTACACACAAGACATAGGCAAGAATTAGTATTAGTTGTGTTACTCAGCCTTTCTTTCATCCTGGACAGGTACTTACTCCCTAGGTACTTGCTAGGATGTCAACAATTAGTCCACAGAATTTCAGAAGATGCCAGATGTCCTTCAGAGTGTACAAACCTGTTTTGCAGGCTGCTGCACACAGGAATTGTGTAAACTCAAACACTACATTTTTAACAGGGCTAGTAGTTTGTTTTTCCACTTAGGAACAGCTGGTACTCAAAGCAAAACCTAAGTGGAATCACGATAATCTTACTGGCAAAATATCTACTGGAGCGTAAATGGTCCTGCTCTTGAGGTTTTAAAGCATTATAAAAGCTTTTCTTGTTTAAATCTCTTTTGCACTAAAATGCTTAGAATAAATATATCAACTCTTCATTTAATGGTTATTTAAAATCTTTTTTTATTGAGAACCATGCATATAAATCCACCCTCACATCATGACTGATTTCAGTGATCAATGCACTGCTTAGAAAAGGAGAATCTGCCCCACCTCAGGGTTAACATGTGGGGACTGGGGTGCAGAGAAACTGTCCCCGCATCGTCACAGTTCCCCCCGCCTTGTGCTGCGGTGGCAGACCCTTTGCTGAGTCAGTCTGGCTCATTAAACTTAGCTACAGAAAAATCCACTTTCTTTTTTCCTCCTGGGCTACTGAGATGAATCAACTAAGAGGCATTTGACAAATGCCAGAGCTGGCATAAAGTAAGAAGGTGGAACAGGACTTCTTCTTTGGTGAGAGCAAGCTACTCACATCATAAACTATCTCAGGGGAGCTTCACCACTACTTTGCAGCCTGTGGCAAGTCAGTCCTGTGGCAGTGGAATGAAGGGCCTCATTCACAGGATATTAGGAATAGTTGTCTGTACTTTAGTAGTACCTTCCCTCCAGGATTCTCACCAGCACTTTACACCCTGGCAGGTACACCTGTGCAATACCAGTGCTTGATTCAGGTGAACTGAAGCAGAAGAGAAAGATATATTTCATTAGAAGGCTTCAAACAGGTTGACAGCTTCAAACAGTCCCCTGCTCACCACCTACAGGTGACTTATTAAACTCCATAAACCAGCAGCAGCCTTAAAAGGGAAGGAGAGGAGTTTTAGGGTGCTGGGTTATGAGTGAATTGCCTCAGTTTGCCTTGACATCATGAAAGAAATCTTTTGGCTGGGACTGGGAGCAGCAGGAAAGGAATACAACTTCCCTTTCTGGTATGGCAGGAAGCTGAAATGCAGCTGACGCACTGCGAGCCGTGCCCTGAAGTTTAAAGGGATTCAAATATGTTGTTACTCACAGTAACACAGTAGTTACTCACTTAAATGAGTAGCCTGATATTTGGAATTGCTTTGAAGTCAGAATGGGCCTTTAAAAACAAAGCCAAAAGAACAAGTTATTTACTCAGGAGGAAGAAAAGACAGGAGGTAAGAGGGAAATTATTAAAAGTTTGACTAGATGGCCAGAGATAAATTAATATTCTTAAAGTCTGGCAAATTCTGTGGAGATGTAGCTGGAACTAGAGAGTAGAAAACACAAATATGTTTCAGCCTGATGGCTTTGTCAAGAGCCAAGTCTATTCTAAGCTTTGCTGGGTTCCTATAAGTGTAAGTGAACTATAAAGAGACTTTTATATTTACACAAGTGTAATCCAAACTAAGGTATCTTCCGTTGGAAACATTTCTTCACTGATTTGTTTGTTCTAACGCTGCTATTTAACAAATGCTCTTTCGCATTTCCTCTCCCTCTGCCGGACACGGGCAGAACTGCTGTCTGTGTTCTCTCACAGGAATGCATTTTAAGCGATTTGATTGAAAGAGTTTCAAATAAAAGTCTTTTTTGTGTTCCAAATGTAGTGCTGGAGGATAAGCTCCCTTTCACAATCCACTGTAAAATTATTTTAATTTTGCAAAGGAATTTAGCAACTTAAATCTTACACATTTCACTGAGTGTTGGTGCTCAGTACTTGAGAGCTGGATTCTTCTTTGGGAGGACTCCAATCTAGAATTAAAACCTTTCTTCTGGAGCCATTGAACACATACTGCAAGCTTCAAGAAGGCCATGGATCTGCACACCAAAACACCAGTTTATATTTCCCTGTGTCCATCTTCTCCTCTCTCAAACACTTGCTCAGCTCATGTTCCAGGGTAGTCATGTGTGTCTCAGTTTTGTGTGTAAACATAACCTTTCTTCCTCCCCAAACTGAAAGGTCTTTTTACAAGTGCCATCCCTTTTTTCAGGTGGCTTTAACTGGAGGCTCAGAGTCCTCAGCTGTGTGATCTGTTGCTTGGTTATCCTGTACTGCTCAGCTCTGAAAGATCTGTAAGTTGAGTGCTGGCTGTTTTTTTGTTCAGGATGCCTTTCTCTGAATGCACAGTCACTGCAGTCACTCCTTAGACAGAATCGCTTCCGTGGTTTTGATCCATGAGCCTCCAGACTGAAAAACAGGAGGAGGAGGGTGGGTTAGGTAAGTAGTTTACTGTCAAAACTGTTTGTTATGTGCTCAAAATAAACAAAGATGAGGGTTTAGGTGCACATTTTGAAGAACCTATGGATGGTTTGTAAACCTTCTGACAGCCCAAAGTGCTGTAAACAGCAGAAGGAATTGCTTAATGTGGAAGGAATGTGCTGAGCAAAGAACCCGCATCAAGGAAGGGAAGGATGAGATCACTGATGATGTGAACAGTGGCTGAGTGAGGATTAGAAAGATTAGAGACACGAGGGGATCTGTTTTGAAGAGAGACTGATGGTTTCAGAGTTCTGAGAGCCACGTGTAGGATCAGTTGGAGGAGGCACTGGGTCAGTTAAAAAACAATGAGCTGCATGAAGGAGCTAAAAATAAATCTTGTTAAGTACAATCCAGACCTCTGTTCAGCAGTTCTTATGCTTTCAACTAGATTAGCAACATTTTGATTAGAAAATTACATTCTGCTTCCTTAGAGTAAATCTGTTTTCACCTATACACGTGTAGAATGTGGAGATTATGGATTCCTTGGAAGTGAAAGTGAAGCACAAGTCTTATGAGGAGCAGATGAAGGAGCTGGGAGTGTTTAGTGTGGAGAAAAGAAGGCTCAGGGGGGACCTTGTTGCTCTCTGCAATGGAGGGTGTAGCCAGGTAGGGGTTAGTCTCACAAGTAACAAGTAATTGGACAAGAGGAAAACGCCCCAAGTTGTGCCAGGGGAAGTTTAGATTGGATATTAGGAAAAATTTCTTCACCAAAAGGGTTGCCAAGCACTGAAAGTGGTGGAGTCACCATCCCTGGAGGGATTAAAAAGACTTTAATTTCCAACCTGAACAATTCAGTGATTCTGTGATTCTAAAGTGATTCTTCACTATCAAACAGAATTCAACTGTGTCTTGTACAAATTTTTCTGGCCTGTTAATAGAGGGTGTTTTTGAGATAATGAAAATGTTGAACTTGGCACTGAAAATCTCAATACAGGGTGTTAATGCAGGGTATGGAACAAGCTGCTTATTTACACCTTTTCTTTCTGCAGAGACTCCCTGACATGCAGAAGCTCAAAGTTGCCATGCCCACTGTTGGATTCCATAATATCTCTAGGCCAGATCTCCTGCCTTAGGAATGTGGTAAGAGTTTTATAACACATTTCGTATGGAAAGTTTTCCATGCTTGCCTGCCTCCAGGGAGGGGGGAATAGAAAACTGGTTCCATGTGGGATTTTCATGTGCTTTCTTTTCACCTTCTTAATTCTCCAGAATTCCAGTTGAGGGAGCATGTTGTCCATTAGAGATCCCTAAGGATTTTAGTTGCATTAATGACTAAAGCAGAATGGCATTATTGTTATGAAGAAAGAATAACAGTGTCATGGGATTTTTAAAGCTGTTCTTCTATGCCAAATTAACATGTTAACATTGTTGCAGAAAATAATTACTTCATTATGAAATACTGAGCTTGTTTCTAAATAGGCCTAATTACTCCAGAAGTATCCTGTGCCAGTATTCTTATTCCAGAGAAGGCAATTTCCATGGGGAATTATTCTGGAATGGCCATGGCTAAATCAATTGTAATTTTCCTCCTGTCTTAAGAGAGAGCACGTGTTGGTACTGTACAGGAGAATTTGAAAAAAGTGATTGTGTGTTACCTAAACTTCTCCAGAAACACTGAATAGATGGAGAATTTGGTTAAAGTTATCAGAAGAAAAATTCTTGTTAGACTTTAGTGTATGCCAAGCACTTCATGTCATTCATGCACATTTATTTTAATTGTAACTCCATTACTCCTCTTTGCCTCATACCACTGATTATTTTTAGTTTGTTTTGTCCACTTGCAAAGACACTAAAATAATAGTATGTGGGAAATTATTTTTCCAAAACAAAATGTAAGTGCTTACATTAAAAAATGAAGAAAAAAAATATGTTTACATTTTGTAAAAACTATTGTACCAACAAAAAAGTGTCACTGGCATTCTAATAAGCATTGGCTTAATCCAAACTTGCACAATTACTGTTTTATGCATTGTCCTTAGCAGTTACATAACTGTTTTGGCACATGTGAAATGTCACAAAAATGAAAAGGTGTCTTCTTCCCCCAAAGGGGAAAGCACTGCCACAAGTTGGTTCCCAGCTAAGTCAGCTTTGAGCATTGTAGGGGACACAGAAGTTGGCTGGGATTGAGTTGATAATGTTTATACTATTGTTATTTTAATTACTATTTTAAAGGAACATTTTTCTCTTAGGTTGTTTTGTTCTTTAATCTTTTTTGGAAATAGTAGATGTAGCAACAGCATCATCACTCTTTTCAAAGCAGTCGTCTAATTAAAATGTGCTGAACCAAACAGACAAAATGCACATTGTTCTTGATTTTGCCCTGTGTGCAAAAGACATTAAATAATATTTTGTCTAAAAAGAGCATTGTTCTGTGCAGCTTGTAAAAGTTAATGAACATGATGAATCCTTTAATAGCTCCTTCCTTTTCTTTCCTAGCAGTGTGCACCCCATTCCTAGAACAGCTTATCTCCTCCCAGCCATACAGCTGGAGCAGACACTTCACGAAATAGGCATTTCTGAAAAGAACCCTTTCAGAAAGTTTCAACTCTTTTTAGGAGGTGATGGTCTGTAAGAACTGCTGGTCCTTGAAGTGCAGTGACTTTTGGGGAGAAAAAGTAGTGGTTTTTTAGTATGTACATTGATCTCATGGATTTTTAGGATTTTTGAGATGATATTTTTTAAGGGATTTTTTTTTCTTTGGATTTAGTCTGTAAATAACTTTAGAGGACTGGAGAGGACTCAGGCCAAGCCTGTACTATAAGATTTGACAGTGTAGCTCAGCTGCCTCAGTGAGTGGAAATAAAAGAGCTGTGCCAGCACAATCCCACCAATGTAGAAGCCACGATACAGCCAGAAGAATTCCTTTGTCAGCCCAGCCAGTGCTGTTTGTGAAGGGAATGTAACAGTCCTAGCAGAAACCCCTCTTTCTCTTGCTCAGTGCTATGTAATTATGCCAGCAGAATTTCTGAAGTACAGTCAGGCAAAAAGACTGGCATGGGCATGAACAGAGAAACCCTGAGAAACCCTGAGCAGTGCCAGAACAAAACTTGGTATTTTACCACACATAACTTCAAGTTAAGAGACCTCAAGTTACTGTTCTGTGACAGATGAATGTCAATCTTTATGTTTAATTATTGACATGATAGCACTACTTGTTTCCATTTTTCCCTTCAGAGTTTTCATTTTATTATTTTGGCTTTGATGCTCACAAAATGAGGTCTTTTCAAATTAAATAGTGAAAGGTAAAATTCTACTTACCTTTTTCAGGTGACTATTTCCGGTCACATAATACCAATTTCACATGTTAGAAATGAGCACTGCTAAGGATTTCTGGCAGTCTTAAGTTTCTCCAGATGTTTAAGGAAAAGAACAGTCAGATTTGAGTATTCTGTCAAAGCAATGTGGAACTGTGCTCACATATAAAGGTTGTAAATCTAGAGTGTGTGTGTGTTTGTGTACAACTCCAAAGCACTACCTCCTGGTCTGTGCTATTTCCTACCTGTTCTGCCTTCACTTCTTGAAATCCTGTTCTGTAGTTTGATTCCCTACTAGAACTGACAGTATGCTGAAATTATCCTTCTAAACTGCAAACAGATGTTTCACTGCTTCCCAATGTAGATTTGAAGTTGAGAGAAGAGTTGTGATTGAGAATCACATTAGGAAAGCAAATAAGTATTTATAAATTGTCCCCAGGTGTCACTCCTGAGTCAGACAGAAACATTTTAGGAGCAAATCTGAGAATTGGTTTTCCTGTTGTTTTTTTTTTCCCCTGTTGTTTCTGCAATTGACACTTTCCTCCTTAACTTTATTTCCCATCATTCTCAGTAATAATGTCAACTCCAGCAGGTCAGTTTAACCTGTCTGAAATATATTATCCTTAGAGGAAATCTTGGGGAATTTTTGAACTTAAGTTACAGTAATGTAACTGCAAAAATGCCTCCCTGGCAACACCTTGTGGATTTATCGTTAAATGACTGATTATTGTATTTGATAAATCCTTTCTTATTTTGTACAACTCTGCTAATTTCTGTCAAATTTGCTCCTTTTGGAGCAAAATCAAATGACGAGGAGAAAGAATTTATTACTGTGAACAGGTAATTATGTGGAAAGCCAAAGCAAGCTCTGTAAATCCCATAACAGAAAAAAAGCTGAAATGTCACTTTGCTGGTAAATAAGGCATATATTTATTATTCCCTAAAAGTAAATATCACTGTAGGAAAACCATCATTCCATCCATCTCATATTTGTGTATATGTGTTCGAACGGTCTACAAAGAACCAAATAGCGTTCTGCTTAGGGGATTTAATGTGTATTGTACAAGGTAGTGAATAAATTATTAACATAACTACAGTTTCTAAGCAATAATATCCTTATCTTAATGTCACTCAGAGAATTTATTCTTAATGCTTCTTGGTTTTGTTTCATTTGTTGGCTGAATTCAATATTCTACTTTATAAACAGCTTCTAAATTCAGGTATTATTTCTCTCATATTAAAACCAGTTGGTATGGTACACTTCTCCCAACAAAGTGCTTAAAGTTTTTTTTTTGTTTGTTTTGTTTGTTTTTTTGTTTGTTTGTTTGTGTTTTTTTTAAATAATGTTAACTTCCTTCTATCAAAATTACTCGAAACTGAAGATTGCACAAGAATCTTGCTAAGGCAGAAAATGTACTCCTTACTCCTGCTCACAGATTTGGAAATACCGTGTGTTTCAGATGTGTGGCAGGATCTGCCAGTGGGAACTATTGCTTGTGATGATCTGCTGGTTACATGCCTGCTTTCACACCCTTGGGAAGTAGGACTTTTGAATTTTAGGATGTGCAGAGAACAAAGGTAACAGCCTGTGACAACTGTAATTCCTCACAGCTTTTCTAACCATATTTTGCCCCTGTTTTGTCATTCCTTACTTCAGTGGAACTGTAAATAGCAGAGGAGGAGAGGCTGTGACTCGTATGGTGGTTGTTTATATGAATGGCACATTAAAGACCCTTTACTCTCATTGCTCCCCAGTTTCCTATGTGAGAAAAATGTATAATCAAGGATTTGTGTTTTGGGAATTAGTTTATACCTAAAGGCTGTAAGCTTTGGGAAAAAATAGTGCAACTGCAGGAGGAAAATTATTGCTGTAAGAAACAGCATCATTCTCCAGAGCTCTGATGAAATGAGCTGTATTTAGCCTTTTAATTGGGGGGAAGTTTCCTAGAGTTTGAGTGAAAATATGAGACTTCCTTGTATTTACTTCTTGTCTTATGATAAATAAGTTTGAACTCTAACTAGCCATGTAGGAAAACTGTTTCTGGCCAGCTGAGAGAAAGCATATCTGCCACAGTATCTTATGGTCCCATATATTTGATATCAGATAATTAGACACAAATTAATTTCTACTGTACTTTGAGTTTGACAAGGCTTTTCAAATGAAGACATCGGTGCATTAGTTCGCCCAGTGTGTACTTCTGTAGTGGACTTAGTTTCACATCCCCCTAGGTAATCAGCTGTTCCTTTTTTTTTCTGTTTTGTTTCTGGCCTTTTTTTCCAGGTCCTAGGAAGTAAAACTCCAGGACCTGCCTGGATTAAGGAATTAAAGCTGCTTGCCATGTGGTCAGGTAAGCCCCAAAGCCTTCCTGATGCTTCAGAATATAGGGAGAAGAGCAGGACTATCCCTTTCACTACCACCAAGACATTTAATCAGCTTAGCTCTCTATAATCTAACTACATCTTTGGTGACCTCCAGACCAGTCTTACTAACCAGACATGAATAATTTCTGTGCAAAAATAGTCTGATTTAGAATATATCTCACTACATTTGGGTGACAAAATATTTTAGGAGACATTATGTTAACCCTCCTGCATATCATGCAGCAGATGGACTAAAGTTCAATGACAGGATGCTGTTTTGGAGAGAGGTATTTTGTGTAGACAAGAAAAGCTCTTGCCAACAAGAAAAAAACCCCAAAAAACAGATGCACTTCTTCTGCACCAGGAAAACAGAGGAAAAAATTTAATAACAAAAAGAAAAGTAGTTGTGAAGACTCTAATAACACTACCTGTGATAGGAGTTACCGCATGAAGTTACTTTCACTGATTGTTGTTTCACAAATAATGTCAAGTCTTACAGTCCTCTCATATTTTTCCCACAAGTCTTATATTTGGGTTACACCTACTGGGAAGCACCAGCAGATCATCTTCAAAATGTTCCACATAATAGCACTGAGTTTATAACATGCCTTGAGAATCTCTGTTGGGTGTTTTTTTTTTTTGTTTTTTTTTTTTTTTTTTTTGGTCACACCTAAACTGGATTTTGTCAATTCCTGTTTCTCCACCTGTCTTGAGCAGGCAGAAAAGCCTGCAATAGAAAGCCTTCAGCTGTGCACCTGGCCCATAGAAACAAGTGCAGAAGACACAATAAACATTTCCATCTGCTAGAGACAAGAATACAGATTTGTTAGACTGTTCCACTCCAAACAGTTTGTGTATTCCCACATGGTTTATTTTGTGGGGAAAGAAGTCTCATACATAGTAATATGGTATGAAATCACAGTTTCTTATACAATGTTTTTCTTTTCTCTTTCTGTAGTCAAAAAAAGGCAATTAAATATGGCAAAGAGAAATTTAATTATAAATAAGCCTGTAATTCTGATCTAGCTATGTCACTGATACTGGAGAGAGGCAGTTATTGCTACTATTGCTATTGCTATATTATTTGTAACTTTGTATTTAAAATAAATTCTAGTAGATTAAGCCATCAAGATACAAGTTAGCTGTATAAACTGTTTTCATTGTGGCAGTTTGCTGTCAAAGCTTTTTCTTTTTCCTGTGAGAAGACCAAACACATTTTCAGAAATGTTACATTCACTGTATATACATCTACCTGGCTGAGAAGGACATGTCATATACACCTATTTTTCCATGCTGGTTACTGCAGTTATAGCACAGTGACAGTTCTATATTTTGGAAAAAATAAGGGCAAAATGCAAATAATGTTTTGAATAAAAATTGTAAAATATTGATAAAGCTCTTCTTTCATGATTAGAATGTAATATTATTAAACGTCTCATATAACTATGGTTATAAGCAAAAAAATAGCTAAAACGCCAAAAATGAACCCAGCAAATAAGCCACTCCAAAGATAATAGACTAGATAAATGAGGCTAATTTGGAGTTGAGGAGCAATATCCCAGCAATCAAATCCCTAGATTTTGTCATTCCATTATACCTGAAGGTCTTAGAAGTATTTTATACAACACAATCATGAAATACGTATTGAACTTGTAATTTAACAGTGTCTCTTTTAAAATCAGAATCCCCTTCATTTACAAGAAGCAATTCTTTCCTCAGCTATGTGTTCTAAATATTGTTGTCCAGCCAGGGAAACAGGTAGGATGGAAGTTGTCTGAAGCTGTGGAGTGAGTCAGCGGCAAACCCGGGAACTGAACTGCTCTTGTCTCCTTACTGCCATGTCTCCTGCCTCTGGTTTTTTCCATCATATGTTCTTTGGACTGGCATAAAAAGTAAGCATTGCATATTATAAGAAAACATGATTACTGTAGCCCATCACCACAAATTTTTAGAGACAAGAACAATTGTTATGAACTCCTGTTTGGAGATCTTCTTTCTTAGGGTTTGTAATGTTTAGCACCTGTCCAAGAAATGCCTTCTATAAATAAGTATTTTCTGTTTCAGACAAAATTGGTGCAGCTGCTCAGTTTTTCTACAATTGTGAATTGCCAAAAAAGGAACAGTAATTCCTTGGGGACCTCAGAGTTAAATCCTTTCTCTGTAACGTGATACTATGTCATGGGGCTGTGATGGAAGTCCATTATTGCTAGCTGCTCTTCGAGTTGCTCAAACTGAGAACTGAGAAGTCCTAGATGATCCTCACTCTTTTACAACTTCTGTGGCTTTGCACTTCCATAATTACTGCCCCTGATGGCACCCTGCCCCCAAAAT